GTTTTTTTTTTTACTTTTCCGATTTGCTTCACGTGGATTAATGCAGTTTTATCACTTACCCCAAAGCCTGCAGCTATCTCTGAAGTGCTTTGTGATGGATCCGCTTCCATAATAGGCTTTAATTCTTCATTTTCCACTTTGGTCTCCGACCGTCCACGGGATAGGTTTTGTAGGTCGAAATTTCCAGAACGAAGACGTTGAAACGTTGAATTAAGCCAATCTGCTTTTGTAGGATTAGATAATTTTCTGGAAACTATTCCAACAGCATAAGCAATGTTAGGACGTGTTCCGACCATAAAATAAGCCAATGCGTCTACTGCTTCTCTGTATGAAAAGTTTATTTCCTCATTAGCTTTCCCTGCTTTACAGTGATAGAACCTTTTATTGCTTCTATTTCTAAACCTAAATAGTACGTCGCAGGTTTCGTGGTTATCTTCAGACGTTTCTGCAAGTCTCTCAAGAAGGAGTTCGCTAATTCGATATCTGTTGTAGCCATTAGACCATCGTCTACATATAAGCAAATAAGTATCTTCTTATTGTTGATCTTCTTTACACAAAGACAGCAATCGCTTTCACTTTGTTCGAAGTTCATTTCAAGAAATATTCCTTCGAATCAGGTATTCCAACACCTTGGTGCTTGTTTAAGTCCATACAGACTTCGGTTTAGTTTGCAAACATTCGATGTTTCGTCATGAAAACCATCAGGTTGCTTCATATATATTTCCTCATGCAGTGTACCATTGAGGAAAGCAGTTGTAACATCAGATTGCGTAAGGTATAATCCTTCCATGGCACTAATACTTAACAGTGCTCTAACTGTTGCTAACCTTGCTACGGGACTATAGGTTTCGGTATAATCAAGACCTTTTCTTTGTTTAAAACTTTTTACCACAAGTTGTGCTTTATATATTGAACCAACGGGGTTTCTTTTTATTCTAAATATCCACTTGCATGGTAATGCTGTCCGATTGGGTGGTAGCTTACATAAACTCCAGACGTTGTTTTCTTTCAGAGAATTTATTTCATCTTTCATGGCTTTACTGTTTTCATGTTCACTACATCCATTTTGTTCTGGAGTGTATGGCATCGTGAGTCGCTGTTGAATTCCATGCTTGCTAAAGATATTCTTGACTTACTATTTTAACTTCATTTAGAAATTGTACGAGTTTTTCTTTACCTCGGACTTGTGACGATAAAGTAAACCATAACTCGAGTAATCATTCTTAAATAAGACATAGTATTTGTACTTGGAGAAACTCAAAGAGTTAAACGAACCACAAACATCTGTGTGTATAATTTCTTCCGGGCGTGTAGCTCTTTCCCTTGTCCCAAACTTCTTCCTATGACATTAACCATATATGCAACCTTCACATGTAACATTATCTGGACTACTGAAAAGAGAACTCGGGGTAGACCTACTACCCCGAGTTCTCTTTTCAGTATCTTTCGTACATGACGTTTATCTGGGTGTACAAAACGTTCATGGTATAATTGCAGTAAGTTGTCTTGAGTAACAACATTAATTTCAATTGTGCTTTTCTTAGGCAGGATTGTTTCTAAATTTAATTTATACAATTCACCACAGTACTTTCTACTTCCTACAAATGTAGTGTTGCCATATACTTGTAAAGAACATGTAGTAGTTTTAAAATTAAAAATGCTGTTTTGCTTTTTATCTTGAGCTGGCAGCATCGAAAATAAATTCTTTGTAAGCGTTGGCACAACCAAACATTTTCTAGAGTTATGATTTGCTTGTTACCTTCTATAGTTGACTCAACTCGCACGGTTCCTTTTCCAAGTGTAGGGATAGGTGTTCCGTCAGCAGTTTCAACTGTTTCAGAAAAGCTTTGAAAATCTAGAAAGGTGTCTCGACAAATGGTTACGTGACGCGTAGCTCCATTGTCTACATACCAGTTAATTTTGTCCTGTTTTTGTTTAGAGCAAGCAGTCACCATCATAAGAGTCATGGCGTGAACCTGGTCTAGTTGGACTAGGCTTCGGTAGTTTGCCATCTTTTATCCACCATCTATATCTTGCAGTAGCGAACCTTGTGGCCAACTCCTCCCCAATAATTACATTTCCACTGTCTTTTATCCTTCTTCTTAATTTCCATTTACGTGGTGACTAGGGCCTCTTGACTGGTCTCTGCCTTGCTCCCTAGTGTTCTTTCATATGCACAGAGCTGACTGGTTAAATTGAAAATTGTCCTTTCATGCTGATTTAAAAGTAACCAACTAGATTTAAACGGAAAATATTTTTCATCTAAAGTATCCAGAATTTTGCATATTAAAAACAGATCAGGTAACCTACTATGGTTTGTTTCCGGTTTCTTAGCAATTTCTACATTTAAATCGTTCCAAATATTTTTGAGTTTTGACATAAGTGTAGAAACGTCATCTTCTTCATTGCGTTTAAAACTGAAAAATTCCATGCATAAATTATAAGCTGTCTTCGGTCAGTCCATCAAATAACCTATGCAATTCTTCCCATACTTCATAAGTCGTTTCAAATCTCATTAACTTTTTAAGTGTTTCTTCGTTAATAAACTTGACGAACAAAAATACTGTTAAATGTGATGCAAATGGCTGCCATCTAAACTATTTGTGGAACAGTTTTAGCTTTGTATTTCATATTTCTTTTTTTCGATAATGCCCCCCGCAATAGCAGCCCCTCGCCGACACATTTCTTGTGTCGGTCCTTAACAATTTATTTATTTTACTAACATTATTATTGGGAACGGGTGGGAGAGTTGGAAAGAGACCACTTTATTATAAATAAAAAAAAAAGAGAGTAGGGAGAGGAATCTCCCACACTGCTGCCTATATCATCGGAAGAAGATAGAAGAAGATGCCACGTCGACATACATATACCATCTGTGCATGTCGGCTTAAAACCAAGGGATCCGGAGGTGGTAATCTCCGGAGTTGAAGCTGGGGTAATGGGGTACGCCCCGAGGTCCATACCTTGCCCGCTCTCACCATCCGGCAGGGCAAAGAAGACATAATTTATTGATATTTCTTTTTATTTTGACGTGGGAATTACGATTATATATAATTAATATTAACTCGATTACGAGATTTACTCTAGAAATTGACTACATATTATGGGAAGTGTTGAAAACTTGTGTTTACTATCAATAATATAACAAAATTGAGATCTTAAGGTAATATTGTATAAAATAATAAACATATTTAAGAATGTTATCTTTTGTTTTATTTTTATTAATAAAATGTTCATCGGAACATGCAATTTGATATAAAATCTATATATTTCTTTTATCGCATAATTCACGTTTCTTTTATCAAACTATAGTATAAATTATTCGTTCTATTTTGAACATGAGGCTGGCCAATATAACGGGAAAAAGGATTTTTTTGCGTTGATTGATGAGATATTCCTGACTGAGTCGTCTTACGTAGCTTGTATGAAGTGTGCATTTTTATCTTTTGTTTACATAAATCTTTGCATTGCAGAGATTTTTAACCCTTTCCACTCCAAGCCTTTTTTTTTTTATTCCACCAGCTCCACGCTAAAATTGCTTTTTTTTTTTTTTTTAACTTTTAGGGGTTTTTTCGTATTTTGTAAATAAAGTTGATTTTTTCTTATATGATAAACTTTATTTTATGAGTAATTACAGGATACTATATTATAATTCTTAATTCTAATCTTTATAATCTCTTTTGGTATGGCACAAAATCAATGTCGAGTGTCACACTCGACATTGGAGTGGAAAAGGTTAAGAGCAGTCTAGAAATTGCGTGTTTTTGTAGCAGATCACATCTAATATATAATTTTGATTGGCCAGGCTTTATTTATAATTATTAATAATATATTTATAATTTTTGACCAATATACATATATTTCAAATATATAAAGTTTATAATATCCAAGTCTATCAGTTCTGAGTATCCTATCTGTGTAATAATCTGTCTCTAATCTGTCGTTATTACCTTTTCTGTGAGGCTCAAAAATTATAAACAGTATTCAGTGTTAGGTTTGAAGCAATTTTTATTTATTTTGCCTTAGAACCACTACTTTGATTTAGATAAGTTTAGAAAATGGCCTTTAAAATCGATTCTAGTATTCATGTCATATTTAGATAGAACAAATATAAAAAAATATCTTCTTATGGTGTAGCAGAGTCAAAGAATTAGTTAATTGATATTTATTTCAAACCTTAAAAAAATAAAGTTTTTTATAATGTTCTGTTTATGAAAATAATACCATAGACAGTGTTAATATTAATAATTAGTTTTTAATAAATGTAAGTACTGTTTATTGTATGAATACTAGGCAATTGGATTTTTTGCCATCAGATATGTTGAAGCGTAAAGCAATCATATATAGTAAAATAATGTCAAATATGTCAGGCAATTTGATTGTAAACAACCTTGGTAATTAAATATTACATTTAAATGATAGGCCTGCTAATAATTGGAATTCTTTTGTTTGTTACTAATTCACATTTAAATGGTTTAATAGAATTGAGTTAAATTTGGTAATATATAGATGGATAATGTGTTAAATTAAAACTTAGGCTTTTCTGTACTAAATACTATAATAAATACATAATACAAAAACTTTTTATTCTAAATGTTATATATGTAGCGACATATATATGTGTAGTATAATAACAATGGCAGATATATATGTATATATTTCAATTACATATTTACCAAGATTGTTTACTAAGTATGCCAAAAATAAAAATATATATACCTACTAACAGATTCAAAAGTAGTGATCATAATCATATCACTACAGCAATAGATAGAAATTGGCTTAGAATATAATGTTTCATTAGTACTTGAAGGAAAGAATTATGCATATAGCAACTTATAGAAGGAAATTAAGTCTAGTCCAACATTAGGAACACCTCTTCTACAATATTTAGATTTATAATTTGCCATAGTGAAATGGTTACTTATAATACTACTGTAAAGCAATCTTTTGGATAGGAAAAATTGGTTCTGGTATATAAACATTGATAAAAAATGTAATTATAAATATTATCAAGTGTATTAATAATATACATAGTACCTATTTCACATTAGTACAGTGAGGTTTAAAACCATTGCTACATGCTTTATCTATTATTTCCAATCAATAAAAATACTTTATACAAAGTAGTGTAAAGAAAAGATAGCTGGCTACAATTTACAAAAACACATAGGTACTGCTATTGTAAAACTAAACCGATTTTATTTGGAGTCATAGTAGGGCACCTCCAGTTATATAAATAGTACTGCAAATTACCATCACCAATACCAAATTTTAATGGTTCTAAGAATTCTTTGTTATCCATCAAATCTAATGCATTGAAAACATCAAAACCGGAATTTTTTGCTGTTATTAATGCATCAAGCATTAATTCTATCCATGGTGTCTTAGTAGACACATTATAAAATGAATATGCTGCTTTCAACGTCTTGTGAGTTGGATGATAAACAACAGTAGATGGCAATGTGTAATAACTCACAAAGTCTGTTATAGTGCCATCCGAAGCTTCAACAACAAAGCTATCAATAATGCCCACCTGGGGAATAAACCAATGTTTGAAATCATCTTCTGAGAATATAGGAGCCAAATCAAACTTTTTTAAGTAATCATTCAATAATGTCACAACTTTATCACAATCTTGAGTTTCCATTTTACGGAAACCAGGAGTTTTAGGTAAATCTGGAAGTTTAAACAATTTAAGCGTTCTTTGCATAGTCATATTTCTTGATAAATGACTGAATTTTATATCAATTAGTTTCTTTGGATTAAGTGACCTGTGCCAATAACGACATGTTGCTATTGGTTTAGGCAATACAATGCCAGCAGTGTAAACACCTTGAAATATGCCAGTCAAATTAACTCTACGTGTAATTTCTCTAATGAGAACAGGTGCTACCCTTTTCGAGCGTAGCTTTTTGTGCACACATAAAAAGTTGATTTCCACAACTACTTGCACATGATCATATATTCTTAATTCAGCTGGTGTAGCAGATATAAATCCAACCAATCTCCCTGATTTTACTACACGAACCCCACAATGCCATTCCATTTTCCATCCTGGTGGTTGAAGAGCCCATTTTAAGAAGTCAGTTTGATAGTCAAATCGAAACATGCAATCATCATCTTCAACATAATTCTCATTAAGCAAAGTATATAATTCCTTCAACACTAGAGGTTCATTCAAATTTAGTGTATCCCATTGGAAACCATCGGGTAAAGTATATGGTTCTCCTCTAATGTCTTCCGGGGATTTTGGAGGTTCGATAGGTTCATTAGAAACAATCTTCTCATCCATTTTTGGGACTGGCTGAGTAGACCAAAACTGATATGACTTGTGTAAAGCTTCTTCAGTCGTTTTGGCAGGCTTCTGTTGAAGATTTAAAACCTCCATAGCCATCTTTAAATCTTTTAACGATATATTTTGATGAACATCACCTGAATTGGGAACCAATACGTCCGATGGTCCCGACACACCATGGTCGCCATCACCACCGCTTCGCTTTTTCTTATTTTTACCTTTTTTCTTCGGATGTTTCTCATCGTTATCTTTTTGATAATCATTAGATTGGGATATTTTGCCGTCCTCCATTAAAAAAGAAATTGAAGGGGTATCAAAGAATCAATTTTTCTTTGATTAGCAAAGGAACCAGAGAAATCAGACAATGGCAGTGTAGTGTAGTGTTGCCAACACGGTGTCGGATTTTTAACATAAACCAAATTAAAAAAGGATGGGACTATTTTAAAAATAAGGTTAATTGATATCTATCCATCATTAACCCATATATTCAACAAAACGTTTATTTACGTATATAACAAGAAATCATAAAATGTTGTAAAAATTGGGACAAAAGTTAGTAGCGCAGAATCTGTTTCTGAAAACTAAAATTAGATGGATGCACAAAAATCCATATAGTGTTGCTCGTTGTGTTTATTAAATTGTCGATGTCTTAGAAAGAGACAGATATTTAAAACGCACGTCTCTTTAACAGTACAGAGAAGCTGATTATTCAAATTGCATCAATGTTGGTTTTGACCACAGATCTAAATCTTTGCCACAGACATAACACACGCTAAGCACACTTAGTTGGTAACCCTGCCTTTGCTATTGACATCAAATATCTATGGAACACATACAAATTTCAATTTTACAATGTGTTTTTGCATTAAATCCTTAGTATTTTCTTATTTATATTATTTTTAATGCTTTTTTTTAATATTAAATAATAATTGTTTTTTTTTTATTTTATTTTTTAATAATCTTAATAATAATTACGAGTAAGTACTGTATGCACGTAGTACAAAGTAAGGTGCCTAATCAACTAAAACTAAAATTAAATGGTTGAACAAAAATTGCATAAATTAATATAAAGTGTGGCCTCTTTTGTTATGGAGAATTTGTTGACACCGATTATTCATAGAATTGATGGGACTGTTAATATTATTCTGCGGCAATTACTCCCAATGAAATTTTAGTAAGTCCATCAGTTGTTTGATTGTTGTCACTCCATCCAAGTCCATTAAAACACGTCTCTGGAGCATGTCCCATGTATGCTCAATGGGGTTGGGGTCTGGCGATTGTGCATGCCAAGGCAATATCAGGATGTTTTCCCTTGCCAAGTATTTCCGTGTGTGTAAAGCTGTATGCGAACGCGAAATCATCATCAACGTGAAATCGGAGCCAAGCGTTTGTGCAAATGGACGGACATAAGGCCTTAGAACATCCTCAACGTAATTTACAGCGTTCATGTTACTATTTACAAAAACGAGCTCAGTTCGTCTGTTCTTCATAATTCCCGCCCATACCATAACTGTTGAGCCATTGTATGGATGCACTTCCTGTAGTGCTATTCTCTAAGCAAACAGCCTAGAGATCAGTCTTGACGCAGCGATGAAATATTGAAATGGTATTCACTAATTCCTAAGACGCGACACTAGCGCCCAAAGACGAGCTCAAAGACGAGCGGCATAAACGGGAACTACTCAAGGCTGTGCGATTTGACATTTTGTCATAGTATTTGGTATTCACTAACAAAAATCAGCCTCGCTTTCGCCGACAGCCTAGCCTACAGCCTCGATTTCTTATGTCAAAATCAAAAGCTTTGTTTTCTACGTTGTTTGCATAGCATATATATATATATATATATATATATATATATATATATATATATATATATATATATATATATATATATATTTACAACACAGGGGGCAAACGAGCATGCGGCTCACCTGATGGTAAGTGACTACCGCCGCCCATGATCACCCACAACACCAGCGGCATTGCAGGTGTGCTGCCGGCCTTTTAAAAAGGAATATACTCTTTTCTTGAAGGTTATGTTGTCGTATCGGTTCGGAAAGACTGCTGCTGGAAGTTGATTCCAAAGAATGGTTGTGTAATATTTATTTGTTTCTCGAATTCTGTGATTATTAATTGTATTGAAATTATCAATTTATGTTTAAAAACAATTGCTTTTGACGTTTGACGCGTTAGTGAATACCAATTACCGCAGCGCTGTAGCCACGGTCGTTCGCAAGGCTGATCAGCCTAGAGCTCGTCGGCGGGCGCAGCGTTGCGGTAGATTTTTAGTGAATAGCATTGCTGAACACACCTCAGTCTTTCAGTATTTCCAGGACGACAGTACACTCTTACCCTTCTAGTATCAAGGTTGAACCCAAATCGAGATTCATCGCAAAATAAAATTTTATCTCATTGTTCTCGGGTCCATGTAATGTGTTCCTGTTTTGTTGTACTGCTTGACCTTCCATTTTATACTTAATAAAACTTCTGTAACACTAGCAATATATTTATTTTCATTATATTCATGTATAACTCAACGACTCTCTTCTGTAGTACATTTTGACAATAATCGACAAAACTCTAACCACAGATAATACAACATCCATAAACATCTCCCCTTTTTAGGATACATTAATTGTTAATTATTTTTTATCAGATTCTGTATATTGACAAAAGTCATTAAACCTAACAGGAGATTTTACAATACGTCCATGTCTAGTTTTAACCAAAGGTGCATTAACATTCTCTATATTGTTTTCACCAACAGGCACATTGTTATTAGCAACAGGTACAAGAATAGGGTTAAAATCAGATATGCTAGTTTCATTATTAACACTTTCTAAATTACTTGGAGGATAATTTCTATTATTAATCTTAGGATCATGATCAGCTTGATTTTGTTTCATTAACATTTCTGGCAAACAATCATATGAATAAAACTTCTTATCATTATGCCTAATATTGTTACTACATTTATTTTGTGTTATAAACCTTCTGTTTCTTCTATAAATATATCCTGCCTTATCCTCCACCATATAAGTACGCGGTTCATTACATTTTTTAATAATTTTACCCTGAGACCAATCCGAATCTAGTGTTTTTTGAAATATACATTTTGACCAACATATAAATCTGGTAAGGATTTTGCATGTTTATCATAATAGCTTTTAACATTTTTATTATGTTTATAAAACCTCTCATCATAGCTAGTAACTGCTAGTAAAAGTTAGGCTTTAACAAATCTTTTAAAATAGGTAACAATGTATTTAAATTCCTTGAGTATAATAACGGTGCCGGCGATGGCCTATATGGCTTAGGAGTATTACGATAATTTAGAAGACCAAGATATGGATCAGAACCGTCATCCTTACATTTTTTGATAATGTTTTTAAAAACTTTTTACACCACTTTCACTTTGACCATTCGACTGTGAATACTTTGGACTTGTAATAATGTGTTTAAATTTATAGGTAGAAGTAGTCTTTGAATTTTTCTGATGTAAATCGTGTTCCAGGATCTGAGAATAACTACATATTCAGGTATACCCTGCCTAGCAAATACCGATTTACAGTTTACAATTACACAGTCTGTAGATAAACTGTCCAATTTACACACTTCAATAAACTAAAATAGAAGTCAATAATATCAATAATAATCTTTGTTATCATATGTACATATATCCATGCCTATCTTATGCCAAGGAAACTTACTTATTGTATGATTTATCAATGGTTTCTGTTGCAGATTGGTTTAAACCTAGCACTTGAATTACAATTTTTTACAAATTCTTCTATATCCCTATTTGCTTCAGGCCAAAAAATACACGATCTAGCTCTACATGTACTAACACCAACATAGCCTTGATGAAGAATATTTAGCATTTCTTTTCTTAAACATGCTGGTATAACTATTAAATTATTTTTTAAAATTATCCCATCTAAAATTCCTAACTCATCTCTAAATGTCCAAAATACTCTTGTACTGCTATCCAAATCATTTATATTTTTTGGCCATCCGTTCTTTACAAATTCTATTACCTGTTTCAAACACTTATCTTGATTAGTTGCCCTCTGAAATTGTTGTAATTTTGATTTTGATATTGGTAAGCTACTTCTAAGTAATTTAACATGACAAATAATATTTTCTCGTAACAAGTTCATTTTTGACTCAACTATATTATTACTGTTACAACTGCGTGATAATGGATCTGCAATAAACAAATATTTTTTTGGTTTGTACTTTACATCTAAGTTATATCCCTGCGCAGCCAACATCATTCTTTGCAGTCTAGCAGGTACCTTATGCAAAGATTTTTTTACTAAGGTTTCCAGTGGTTTGTGATTTGTTTCCACATGGACCTTTCTACCATAAGCTTATTGGTGCATTTTATAACACCTAAAAATAATGGCAAGCATTTCTTTTTCTAGTTGACAGTAATTTTGTTCTGTTGATGTGAGAGCACGAGAACCAAATGCAACTGGTTGACTATTTTACAAAACAACAGCTCCCATAGCTGTAAACGAACTATCTACAGATAATAATAATACAATATGCTAAGCAAGGACTTTACACAAAGCAGTTTTCAAATTTTCAAAAGATTGATTTTGAAGATTGATTATGTTCCCAGATAAATATTGAATCTTTTTGCAAGATATTTCTTAAAGGTTCTCTTAATTTTGAATAATTCGGAATAAAACGCGACAAATAATTACAAAAATCTTTCTACAAAGAGACGCTCTGACACAAAGAATTTACACTTACTATTATTGAATTTAATGTAACTTTTAAATGCAATACTGAGTACCTTTTCTAACCTTTCATTTAACTGATCTATAAATTCCCCCCAAATGCAAAGATCGTCAATAAAGGAAATAACACCTTCAACATTCTCAAACATCTGATTAATTACTCTGCTTAAATGATTTATGGCATTTATAACAAGTCTTCCCAAATGCTGGACATTTGTAGAATTCATGCACTAATCCACAATTACGACATGCACTTTGATTTTTTTCATATTTTATAGGTTGTAATTTCTTAAATCTATCTTCTTTCTTTATACTTAAAATTTACTTTCTTTCTTGTGTAGATTGGTCATCCTCCACGTACTGCTGTGAAACCTCTGAGCTTAGCAAAATTTTCATAACATAGTCTAACTTTAACTTTTCATCTTCCGTCATCAATTTTGCTTTCAAACCGTTATAATTTGCATCCAGCCCCGTAATCAGTTTGCTCACTGTCAATGATTCCCTTAAGTCTCCCAGCTGACAAGATATACCTAAATTTATTACTTTTTGAAAATATTCTTCTAATCTGCTATTATTTTGTTTTAATGTAAAAAATTCATTCCTTCCAAGGCGAATTAAACGATTCAATCGTTTAATTCGCCTTGGAAGCAAAATAAGTTCTGAACTTTGTCACAACTGTATTCAATTCTGGATTACGTGTAAATGTATTGTAAATTTGAATTCCTTTTTCTGCAATAAAATTCAATAATAAACTTACTTTTCTTTTTTCTGGCGCCAAATCCAGGCCATTTGTAATTAGGTAAATGTCAAACTTCTGAATATATGACTCGAAGTTTACCGCGAAATTTCCCTCAAAACTCATCAGAGGGAACGGTGGTACAAAACCTGACACCATGATTTGTAGTACTGCTTGACCTTCCATTTTATACTTAATAAAACTTCTATAACACTAGCAAAATATTAATTTTCATTATATTTATATCAATTGAAAGTTGGAAGATTGAGAGGTAGAAGCATTGGTAGATTTTTTCAGCCATTTTATGAATTTACTGTTATGGTTTCAAAACATAACTATCCAAGTTTGTGCTATGTGGTGCCTATGCTTGATGTTTTAAAAGAGCATCTTCTTAACAGACAAGATGGAGCAATGAAAAATTGTGCATCGGCCATGATCGAAAAATTTGATGATTACTTCGAGTTTTTAAATAATGATTTGGCACAACTTGCCGTTCTATTAGACCCGCGACTTAATAACAATTATTTCATAGCAAAGAACAACACCCAACCATTACTCAATTTAAAAACCTTTTATGACGAGCTCAAAGATATACAAAAATTGAGAAGAGACAATCTGTCAACAGATAATTATGAACACAGTAGCTGTAATGAAGTTAACGCAGCTAAAAAAAGTTTATTTGCATCCGTGTACATGTACAAGCAAACAGAGAATATAAATATCGCTGATGAAGTAAATAGATACATACACAAATGTATTAATGTGGTGGAAAAAACAAAATGAATTGTCTTTGTCAACCTTGGCTCAAATAGCATTTGAAGTTCTGTCTATACCAGAGACAAGCATTCCTAGTGAACAAGCCTTTTTGAAGTCGGGTAATGTAATAATAAAAAAAAACAGGCTGAGCAACAAAAATATCCAGGCATCAATGTACTTATCTTTTTTTTTTTTAATGGATGATAATGGAATGGTAACCCCACCCGCGCTATCGGTATACACACGCGGGACACCAGTGAAGGATGATAGGTACAGATGGGCAAAGCACCGGGTTTAAACCCGGTGCTTTGGTAAAAACCCAATAAACACCCATAAACTCCCATAATCACCCAAAAAAATAGGTTTTTACGTATTTTTTTGAAAATATGTAAGTAATACCAATAAATTATTTTTATAAATTGTATTGATCAATTCTACAATATTAAATAAAACGTTAACTAATAATATTTCAGGAAATTTTAAAAATCTATATATAATAAAATGAAAGTAATTAATTTTCAGTGTTTTCATGTTGCAGTTGATCAACATGTTGGCCTTTTGCTTCCCGTAGATACTTTAAAATTTCTTCATAACACCTCGTTCGCACACATGGCCGTATATATTTAAATTCTTGAGCCACTAACAGTCCGAAATACTCATTTCTTTTATCCTCTTCTCCATAAATTAAGCATTTAGAACAGTTTGTTTCTTCTTTCAGTAAATTTTCTTTTACTTTATCCTCGTTTTTTTCTTTGTTGCGACGACGCTGGGTAAATCATCTGGACACTGGGTCTCACTATCGCCAAATATATTTGGAGATCGGCTTCGGCTACGGCTTGGCAGACATTTTTTTCTTTCTACAATTTTAAATTAAATTTATTAGAATAAATGCTTCGAACACACGCGATCTAAGTACCTTTTGTGTTTATTATACCTTACCTACCTAGGTATAAAAAGAGTACTTACGTAGATTTTCTTTTATTAACTGTTTTATACGAAGATCTTGATCTCTCAAATTAGCATCCATTTTACTTCCAGTGATTATCAACTAAATTAATAATCCACAAAGTATTAAATAACGTTTTTATGAAATATTTAGCACAAAAACAATACCCTTTAAATATCGATCGTCAGTAACTGTGGCTGACTTACCTATATTCTAGCAAGCAGGACTGCCAGATGTGAAGGGGAAATCCCCAATAAATTGTTGCATGTGACTGATGATGTGAGCATGTTCGTTTCATAATAAAAATGTTGCCAGGTAACCAAAAAGTCGTATGTTTTTGTGCGAATTACGATCATAATCTTTACGATCGTACATTAAAAAATAGACAAATAATAGTATGAGTACGATTTAAATCGTATATCTGTCAACCCTGCTAGCAAGACAGCGACAAAATCACGTTGCATAACAATGTAGCCCAAGCTTATATCTTATGAAATATACGGAAGAGATACGGACTTAGAAAAAACAGAAATGTTGTTCTTTGTGGAAGTCATTGATGAAATTCTATGTATTTTAGCCCGCAAACTTTCTTCAAACAAAAACAGCGCCATCTAGTATCGAGTTCTGTAATTATCTCTTTGTTTATGGATTTGAAGTAAGACCGCCACGCATGCAATACACTATGACTGGGGATTCCCCTATTCGTCGACGCTGAATATGAGGCGACGACAATCACTGTCAAACGTGTTCACTATTACTCTGACTCTGGTAACGTGACTTCCTGGTAACGTGTTAGGTAGGAAAAGCAGTAAAAAAGTGCATATTAAGGGAGCAGATTTGAAATAATATTTATACTTAACAAGAAATAATTAAAGGTAAGTGGATTTTTGAATGATACAATTATATCATGATCACTTAACAATTTTAACTTAAAATTAGATGTATTATTACAAGCTTTTATTTAGCTTGCGTTATGTAAATAAAAGTATGTAGGTATGTTCGTATGTTGATGCAATTATCCTCAATCCTCAACCGACTGGGATAAAATTTTCCATACACGTTTATTTTGGATGATAGTGCATAGTTAGCTGAGAGTCGTCATTGGATAATAATGGTGGATAGCCTAAGATGTGTACTAGATATTTATTTTTAACATAATATGCGTAAGTACCTAATCGAATTAAAGAAGTTGCTGAGAAAAATACAGAACAATACGATAATAAACTAGCGTCTGCGTTTAATCCTCCGAGGAGATGTAATTTTACAAAGGTTTTTTGTATTTATTTTATTATTTTTTTAATAAATTTATTGTAAATAACAAGAAATAATCATTGTAAAAAAATAGGCACTCTATTGTTGAATTTTCGTCAGACCAACTAATCATCGTTCATTTTTTTAGGTTCAATGGGGAGACCTAAAGATTTACGCATATGGGAGCACTACCGTACTTTACCAAACAAGTCTGTTTCTTGCAAGCTTTGTAATAAGGTCTACAAATTCAGTAATGCTGCCAAAATGCTTCAACATCTTATCACTTGTCCAAAATCTCCAGAAACATTAAAAGACTCTATGAAACTTATAAAAGATAGCTCGTCCAAAACCAAAATGTCTGGACTGTCAGAGATAGAGACAAATGATTCTTTTATAAGCCCCTCGTCGTCTGCTAACACTACAATAAATGCTGAGTTTCAAGACACCGATGATCATATAAAAACAGAATTAGCGAGAGCTATATTTGTAACAGGGACGCCATTATCGATGGTGCAACATCCTTTATGGATACAATTTTTCGAAAAATTGCAACCAAAATTTAAAATACCTTCACGTAAAGCTTTAGCGACAAAATACTTAGATAAAATATATAGAGAAATGCGTTTTGAGTTAAATGAGGAACTAAATGCTTGTAGTTACTTACACCTTCAGTGCGATGGCTGGTCTAATTTAAGAAATGAAGGAATAATAAACTTTCTTATATCAAAACCTCAACCTGCATACGTTAAAAGTTTGAATACAGAAAGTAATCCTCACACTAGTGAATACCTTAGCCAAGAAGTTGAAAAAGTAATGAAAGTGTATGGAGCAAATAAGTTTCTTGTACTTATTGGCGATAACGCTAGAAATATACAAAAGGCATTCGAATTAACAAAACTCAAATATCCACATGTTGTTCCTCTCGGTTGCTGTGCACATATCCTTAACTTGTTGTGCCAAGATATTGTAAAGATACAAGAAGTAACTGTGTTTATTATGCAAGCCATAAATATAATAAAAACTGTTAAAAGGAGTCAACGATTAAGTTCCTTGTTGATAAAATCAAGGCAGGGTGAAGATTCTACACAAACACTAAAATTGCCTTGTGCTACAAGATGGGGAAGTCATGTTACTTCGTTAAAAAGTTTGAAAGCAAATAAGATAGCTTTGCAAATATTAACAGTTAGAGAAGATGTGGTAATTTCAAGAGATATTAAAGATTTAATTCTAAGTGATGATTTCTGGACGAAGACAGGGGAATGTATAAGTATTTTGGAACCAGTCACTGAAAGCATATTTTACTTAGAGAGCGACCAGAATCGTTTGCATCGCACATACATTACATTTAGAGATGTACAAGCTAAGATACGTTTTGCATTAAATGAGATTTCGACATTGAGCGAAGAAAGCAAACAGCAGATTCTAACATCAGTATCTTCAAGATGCAATATGGCAATGAGGCCAATACATTTTGCAGCATATATTCTAGACCCCAGGACTCTAGGAGTCGAACTTACTCAAGAGGAAGAACTTAAGGGTATGGAGTTTATCTACAATTTAAGCCAACACTTAAGTTTGTCAAATGTAATGGCAGATTTGGCGTGTTATAAAGCTAAAGAAAACTTTTGGGCCAGAGGATTTGTATGGAGCTCATTAGATAGCATTGAGCCCCTAATATGGTGGAAAGGTATTTGTGGTTCCACTGAGTTAAGCAAAGTAGCGATTCGTATTCTATCAGCTCCCTGTACTTCGGCAGCCACTGAGCGTTCCTTTAGTATCCAAGGCTACATACATAATAACAAAAGAAATCGACTTACAACTGAAAGAACTGAAAAAATTTCATTCATTTGTTATAACTGGAATCTTAAACATAAAGCTGAATGCGAGGACATTCAGTTTAATGAAGAAAATACCTTAGAAGCTTTCATTGAGCAAGTAAATGAACATAACAGTTTAGACGAAATAGAGCCTATCGAACCTATACAATTCATCGCTTGTAATAACTCTGAATCTGACAGTGATTGACTGTAGTTTTACATTTTACTTTCATCTCTTTCTTAATAAACTCAAAATCAAATTAAAAGTTTTTTATTCTGTAGGCTGCATAATAATATTGTCTATGTCCAGTATAGTGGACGTCTTGCGGCTGAGATGACGATGATGAAGTACAAAATCATAAACACCCAAAAATTTGGGTGTTTATGGGGTTTAAACCCAATAAACCCAAAACACCCGGTTTTTACCCACCAGACTTTAAACCCACCCAGGTGGATTGCCCATCTCTAATGATAGGTGAGGATGAAATAGGTAAATTGCTAGTAATGGGGCTGTCAAACTCCATTGCTAACAATCCCTTTCCCCCCCTCAATGTACTTATCGTCATGGTTAAAAATCGAATAATCGTTCATTATATAATCAAGTTTTCTTATTTTCTATCTTTTTATTTCATTTTATACGTACTTACCACAATTAAATAAAAATATTTCATTTTAATATTATCAGGTATATAAGGGAGTCAGCCGCGAGTTTTCGTGTCGTAAACATCGTTATCAATTGCGCTGTCACTAGTAATTATTTAAATCGCATAAAACATTCAATTTTGAGTACTTATCATATACCAAATTAAACGTAATTACACGGACTAAATAAACGTTAAAATAATTTAGTGTTGGAAATCTTATTAAACCTAATAAAAGTGATTTTATTTTAAACTAAAAACGTTAACGGTCAAAAAGTGAAATTCGTGACCTTGCTTACCTCTTTCAGCGGTCTCGGTCAGCTGGTGGCACTTGCTCTCTCGCACTAACTCGCGTGTGCATCTCGCTCTGGTCGGCTGTGCATTGCGGGTGAATCATCGTTTTGTGTCTGCACTTGCATATTTTTGTTATATAGAGAAATGAATAAAATGTCATCTACGGAGCTCACTTGTGCGGGATGTCGCTGTGTTATCTCCGACAGGGAATACCTTCGTTGTAGCCTGTGTCAGGAAGTGTACGAGCGTAAATGTACGACAGTTTCGGAACAACGCTTTTATAACACTATGACAAAGGAACACAAACTCTCATGGAAATGTGATCAGTGTAGAAGCAAACAGCCTAAAACGGGTAACTCAAATACGCCGGTGCGTGGTGCTGATGAGAACGTCACGCATCGCCGAGGTACAGCCAGGACTGCATCATCATCCAACGAGGAAGGCACTGACTCTTTACTTGTATTGGAGATGCGCTCTGTTGGTGAGCAGCTGAGGGCGGTGCGGCGTCAGATGGAGGAGCTGACGGCCACTGTCTCTGGTGCCATGTTGAAGATCGAGGCCTGTAATGAAAGGATTGATGGTCTGTCAGCTCGCATGGACGGTATGGAGCGTCGAATGAATGAGATATCGGGGAGCCAACGCGATGGTGACTCCTTACTGCGAAGTATAGCCCAACTTAAGAGCGAGCTAAACGAACGTGATCAGGAGCTTCTGTTGAACGACGTCGAGCTATCTTGTGTACCGGAGCAGCAGGGTGAGGCGGTTGGTCACGTGATCCTGACATTGGCCACTAAACTGGGTGTACCGTTGACGGAGCGGGATGTGGTGAGTGCGACTCGTATGGGTCGTGTGCCGGAGCCTAGAGAGGGCACAGCTCCTCGTCCTCGTGTCATCGCTGTGCGGTTGGCGCGACGTGCTTTGCGAGACCAGTTAATACAGGCAGCCAGGGTGCGCCGTGGCGCGACAACTGAGGGTGCAGGCCTACCGGGTACGCCGCGGCGTTTTTATGTTAATGAAAGGTTAACCAGGGCTAATCGGCAATTATTTCAAAAAACGCGTGAGGCGGCGAGGCAGCACGGCTGGCGCTTTTGCTGGACAAGGAATGGGAAAGTATATGTTCGAAAGCATCCGGGGGTGATGCTGTTAAATATCGAGTTCACTCGGAGGATGACCTGGAAGGTGTTTTTGGTTTGCCTTCCGTTTGTTCGTCCGTTGAAAAACAATAGAACACGATTATTTGTAGTCACTAATTATTTATATTTATTATCACAAACTGTCCATTGTTATAAGTTTGCTTTTATTTGTATTATAAAATTTGTGTTCATAACGTTTGCCACCGTAACACACTTTTTAAGAGATTATTTTAAATGTCACTTGGTTGTCTTTGTAAATGATTTCGAACAATACACAATCAACATAAACTTTATTAATGATCAGATGTATGAAATGTCTATTTCTGGGGTTACTTGTGTGAGTTTATTATTATTTATTGGTATTTATAATTGTATATGGTTAATTATTTTATTATATCACATTCATATTTAGCACTAAGTTTTTTAAATTAGGGCTTTATAATGCAGGCTCTTTAAGCACCGGACAAGATGACTTTATTGTAGCTATGAGCCGGTATAACGCTGATATTGTTGCAATTAATGAAACATGGTTACGCGAAGGTGAAGAGGCGCGTGCTCCAGTCGTGCCCGGGTATAGACTGCGCTCGGTTCCGCGCCCGCGCCACATGCGTAGCGGACGCGGCGGTGGCGTAGCTTTTTACATCAAACGCAGTTTGTGCGCGCGAGTTGTACAGCATCCTGTCGCAAATATCGAACAAATGTGGGTAAACGTAACCTTTAATGGAGTACGGGTTATTATTGGAACGGCTTATCGACCAGAATGGGTAGGCATTGATGTTTTTCTTGATGCTGTTACGGAGTCAGTAACATACTTTTCTAATTACGATTACATTGTCCTACTTGGGGACTTTAATGCTGACATGTCAGATGCTCATAATATGAAGACTAAAAAAATTCAACAGTTTCTGCAGTGTTTGAATCTTAAACAGGTGGTAACTGAACCAACTCACTTTTCTATACACAATGAGACACTTTTAGACATTATTTGTACCAATGCACACGCGCAGGACGTAACTGTGAATAACATCACTGGTTCCTTGGGTCATGCTATGGTTATCACTACCTTATCAATTAAAAAAAGCAAAAGTACACCAAAGACCATAACGTATAGACCTATTAAAGATATGAATATGACAGAGTTTATTGAAGATTTAAATTCCATGAACTGGGAATCCGTGTTGCTTTGCTCATCAGTCGATTCTATGGTGAATACGTTTAATTCGTTAATCCTATCATTGTACAACAAACATGCTCCTGAAAAAACGATCAAAATTAGAAACGGTCGATCTTTGCCGTGGATAACAAATACTATTAAATATATGATGGATTTACGCGATGAGGCATTTAAGAGATATCGTAGATCTAAAAATGGTAATCATAAGGAGTATTATATACAATGTAAAAAGCTAGTAAATAGTAGTATTTATTATGAAAAAAGAGCGTATTTTAATCATTTAATTAATTCTAAGTGTGACGATCCTAAACTATTCTGGAGAAATATTAGGAATAAAATTAATATAAATATAAAAAAAAAGGACTGCTTACCTGATCGTTTCAATGACCCGAACGAAATCAATGACTCTTTTATTAACGTGCCTGCCCCCTCGTCTGTGTCTATTTCCGATCTGACATATTTTGAGTATCACAGATATGGTGATATTTCACTCACTCTTAAACCGGCCGACGAGAGTGAAATAGCTAAGTACTTGTTGTCTATTAAGTCCAACGCTTGTGGGGTGGATGGTATAGGGAGAGACATGATCTTACAGACCCTGCCACGTACACTGTCGATAATAACGGCTATAATTAATAAGTCTATCGTAACAAGCGCGGTGCCCGAATTATGGAAATCGGCTATTGTCACTCCTATACCGAAAGTAGATAATCCAGTAGAACTAAAAGATTTGCGTCCAGTTAGTGTTCTTCCATACTTGTCGAAAATACTGGAGAAAGTTATTTACACCCAGTTGTCTAAGTATGTTGAGGAAAATTGTATCTTGCCAGCGATGCAATCCGGCTTTCGCAAAGGTAGAGGTACAGTTTCCGCTTTATTGGACGTCGTTGACAATATTCTTACGAGTCAAGATAGTGGAGAGGGATCACTTCTAGCATTATTAGATTACTCTCGTGCTTTTGACAGTATCAGTATTCCACTACTTCTGGCAAAATTGACATTTTACGGTTTGGATGAACAGTCAGTCGGATGGTTTACGAGTTTTCTCGATAATCGTAGACAGACTGTTAAATTGGTGGGGAGAGCTGGTAGACCTGCCTTTTCTGATTCTTCGGAAGTCACGCGCGGAGTGCCTCAGGGCACAATACTCGGTCCATTACTGTTTATTTTATATAGTGCTGATCTTATAAAACAGATACAACATTGCAAATACCATATTTATGCAGATGATGTTCAACTTTATATCCCGGCTTCTCGCGGAAATGTCTCAGGAAGTGTTTCAAAATTAAATGAGGATTTTGAACGTATTGCGAATTGGTCGGTTAAAAATGCAATGATGTTAAACCCCAAAAAATCTGTATACATGTTTCTAGGATCTAAAAAACAAGTAAAATTTATATTTAGCCAGAATCCTGACATATATATTTCCGGGGAAAGAATTGACTATGTTAAAGAAGCTAGGAATCTTGGAATAGTAATCGATAGTGAACTACGCTTTGAGACTCATGTTCTAAAACTAGTTCAAAGCTGCTTTTATCGTCTAAGAGTTCTATATCAAATTAGAAATCTTCTGAATGAGGAAGTTCGTGTCACTCTTTGTGAATCATTGATCTTGTCTAAATTGAATTACGGCGATTTAGTGTATGGACCTCGATTGCATTCTAAAACTCAACGTCTTATACAGCGAGTACAAAATGCATGTACTAGATTTTGTCACAATATTCCGCCTAGAACGCACGTAACGCCATATTTAAATAATTATTCCACCTTAAACATGTCCTCTCGAAGAAACTTTCATCTCGCTTGTACAGTATTTGACATCTTAAAGTATCGGCGACCGGAATATCTATATTCTAAATTACAATTTAATTCATTCCATGACAAATATAGTACAAGACCCACGCGCTACTTATTAGCAGGGCGTCCTCATAAAACTGTGGCGTTTGAGGGAAGTTTCCGCTACCAAGCTACGAAATGCTGGAATAATATACCACCCCCAATAAGATTGTCTAATAGTAAACACATTTTTAAAAAAAAACTTAAAATCTTTTTAATTAATAAACAAAAAATTGGAATACCCAATAGGTACGTAGCCGAAATATTTATTGCCTGAATATCTGAATGTGACAGAAAGTGATCTCTGACTACCCCTCATCTAATGGTATCTGTTATTTATTTATTTATGTAGAATATAATGTCAAGTGGAGGCAAATATAATGGACACATACAATGCAGTTTATTTATATGTGTATGTGTGTGTGTGTGTATATATATGTATGTGTATGTATGTGTGTGTATGTATGTATGTATATGTATGTATATATATGTGTATATGTATGTATGTGTATGTGTATGTATGTGTGTATATATGTATATATATTTATATTGTAAATTTTTAATGAAAAGTTTCGCGACTGACTCTTGGCCACAGCAGAATATCAGTGTTTTGCTCTTTTAAGGGCAAAGCAATAAACTGAGCTGTGACCATTTTGTGTTACTATGGCACACGCATGAAGGAATGTTAACAAAGGAGATTGTTAGATTATGTATTTTGTTTTTGTATTTTTGTTTTTTTATTTTTATTCTTTTGTCTCTTTTGCTGTGTATTACGTGTATGTTTTTTTTTTTATTGTAATTTGTGTGCTGTAAGTAATGCAAATAAATTGTCTATCTATCTATCTATCTATCTATAAATAAAGATCGAGCTTCGACTCGAATCTTTTATTTAGGACTGTTAAGCCTTCAAGGCTCGAGCCTTTAAGACTTGCGAGCCCTCAGAGCTCGAGCTTTGAAGACTCAGTAGCTACGACTCGGAGGTCGAGTTTCCGCCTCGGAGCTTATTTCTCACACTAGGAACTATACAATAAAAAATAAAAGCGCCAATGTGGTGTTAAAGAACATCATTATCACACCATTTAATGCTTTCTTTTATTTCATATATTTATTTGTATATTACAAAACTATAAAAAACGGTCTTGGCCATTTTTTAGTACTTAGTGATAGACAAAACCTTAACAAGTATAATGGTAATCCACCATCTTCAATATGCGGACATTTTTAAATTTTAATTAATTTAATTTGAGATATCTTTATTTTGACAACCGTATTAACTGGGTTAATAAAATATACAGAATTTTGTAACGGCAGACATTTTGAAAATATTACAATACATTCAAGTAAACAGAAATAATTTTTTTTTTTTTTAATATTTTAAGGGCTATTAAAGGCAAAATTGCAGCAAAATCACTTAAGATGAAATGGTCCTAATTTCGATTACAAGACTTTACCTAAATATATAAACTAAGTAATATATATATGTAATTTATTCACGTCATCGTGGACATCCACGGCAAAATATAAAGGAGTTCATTTACACAATAATAATAAAATAGAAGTTCACGATAAATTCTGTAAGGTAAAGAATGCGCAATTTTGCTTTCCGATTGTATCATGACGATAAAAACGTATATCGTTAAATTCCACGGAAAAGTACAAAAACACCTAATCCTAACTACAATATGTCAGTAACATATTGTCACATGCACAGACGTCACTTATTTCTGTAGTTGTGAAAATTGCGGATCATGGCGTTTTTTAATGAAGTGTGTGTGAATTTTGGTAATGTATAATACCTATAGGAAAGGGGTTAAATGAAACTACTATTAATGAATAATCGACAGAATATAATACGTAACATATTAAAAAGAAATACATATTTAATCAGTTGCATTGGTGACCAAGTTTAAATTCCAAGGTAGATCCAATGACAAGCTGATCCGAAAATAAAGACAGGATAACATTAAAACAAAAGTTGACTGAAAGGATAAAAAAGAAAAATTAACTTAAATCAAACCCTTTACTTCTCTTCTTAGTCAATGTAAAAAGTCAGAGTTTAGTGTTATACTCTTTCAAATATAGAAATGTTGACAGTTTCATATTTTTGTTTGTGGAAATGCACTTAATTGTATTACAAGTATATATTATTTGGATTAGTGCAAATTCCACATTTTCATTTTTTTTTCAATTTTTATTCATTTATTTTTATGAGCGGGACTGTTTAGAATAGAAATATTTTTCAAAGCATATTAAAACAAGAACTTAATAGCGGTTCTTGTAAGGCCATTATTGTTGCCTTAGTCCTTTTTTGTGGCTTGCTGTTTAGCTTGGTGAGCTTGCAAAACAGCAACAGCCTCATCAACCTTAGCTTTGAGAGACTCTCCATGTTCTAACATATGAAGAAGCTCAGAATTGTCAATTTCCAAAAGCATTCCTGTAATTTTTCCAGCCAAATCTGGATGCATTCTTTGGATCAAAGGGAAAAGACGTTCACCCAGCATTTGTTTTTGCTCTTGAAGTGGTGCTGCAGCTAACATGGTAGCCGTCAATGGTTCTTGACCTTGAATGTGTACAGCTGGTTGTGGTGCTGGAGGGTTACGCATATTTGCTGTATATTTATAACCAGCAGTTCGGCCACTCTGCGTCACAAGAGGGGTGCGAATAGAAGCTGCACCAGCTACACCTTGTTGTCCAGTAATTGGTCTAGCTCCTAGCGAAGTTCGCAAAGTAGCTTGAGTAGGGCCTCTAGGTGCAGGCCGGAATGGTGCTTGCATATTTGGATAACCTGAAGCAGCAGTTTGAGTGCTAGGTCTTACTGGTGGTTGTGCAGTCCAACGAGGTGATGGTCTAATTTGTGTCATTTGAGCAGGGCCATAAAAGCGCTGTGCAGCTGGAATTGTTGGTACAAAGTAGCCTCCTGCACCTCCAGGTTGGAATATTTGGCCCATTTGTTGCATGCGCATGCTGGCCATACGCTGCATGTATTGTGATGTTAAGTGAGCTTTACGATCTTCTTTCCGCTGGGCCAGAGCTACATAAAGTGGTTTTGTGCCCACAATACGACCATTCATTTCAGTAACTGCTTTAGTGGCTTCTTCTGGAGAAGAGAAACACACAAAACCAAAACCTTTGCTGCGACCGTCTTCTAACATTACCTGGTAAGAAAATAGTAGATGTTAATGTAGTTAAGTGTTTATAACTTTAAATGATTTGTTAGATGTATGGAGGTAGGACTTCTTATGAATAAAAAAATGTGATGATTTACATGTGATAAATCAAATTTATGATATGAAGATCAGTTTGTGCCAACAATATCATACCCACCTATGTATGATATGGTTGACACAAACATACCTACCTACTGTGTACAAAACTAAATGAATTTAGATGTGAAATCGAATTTTTTCCCTACAATATAAGTTCTTTATTACTTAGAAATTAAAAATATTAAAAAGCATAAGCATGATAAATAAAACCACATACACGTTTTTTTTAAGTAATAGCTTAGCAAGCCTTACTCAATAAGTATTATGATGAAAGTTTTAAATTATTTGGAAAGTAATTAAAATTTAGTTCTACTTTAGTTCTTCAAATCTACAGTAGTGACAAAATACAATGTATATTATTATATTTATAGTGCTATTCATGCTTTAGAGTCGCACAATATTTTTCATTATGTAAACCATCATATTAGTTAACAGTTTATTTGCTTTTCTAACTTAAATAATAATGATGTTTAATGTCAGCAATTGAGAAATACAAGTAAGATATAAATGAGCTCCTTGTAAGGTTCTTAATATACCTGTCCCTGTCTTCTGGTTGTGTAAGGAAAGAGACCAGGTTAGAGTACCAGTAAATACAACTAAAGTATCTATGAAACTAAACAACTAAAATAAAATATCACATTTCTCATATAATTCCTTATTTAAAAAATCAGAGTTTAAATTTAAAAGGAATATTATTATTTCATTATTAACTAAATTAATTATATTGGCAATGTCCTATTATTACATTAATATACTATAGAGATACAGTATCTATCACAAATCTCAAATTCACAGTAAATATAGTAAGTCATACTAAGATTAACTACACTTATAGTATGACTATATAGTATGAGTGTTTGTATATGGTATACCACAGACAAAATAGCATTTATCAAATTTCTAATGGCAAAAATGGAATATTTTACAACAGTTGCTTACACATTTATTTTACTTACTTTAGCAGATGTTATAGTGCCAAATGGAGCAAATTCTTTTCGTAATCTTTCATCATCAATAGTGTCATCTAAATTCTTCACATATAAGTTGACACCTTGGTAGCGAGTCAACCGTTCAGATTTCAGTTGTTCAAACTTACGCTTCAATTCTTTTTGACGTTCCGCTTTCTTTTGAGCTCTTCCTACATATAAAGGCTTTCCCTCAACAAGCTCTTTACCATTCAGTTCCATGCAAGCTCTTTCAGCTGCATCAGGGTCTTCGAAAGCTACAAATCCAAAGCCCCTAGATGTTCCATCATCTTTATACATTACTTTATGACTTGTAATACGACCATATTTTTCGAACATCTTTTTTAACATTTCATCATTGAATTCCTCGCCAAAATTCTTCACATAGACATTGGTGAATAATTTGGCCTTTTCACCGAGTTCCTTTTCACGTTCTTTACGAGGAATGAATCGGCCAACATATACCTTTTTACCATTCAATAACATGCCATTAACTTTATCGATGGATTTGTTGGCAGCTTCTTCAGTTTCAAAATGTACAAACCCATAACCCTTTGAGGCACCTGTTTCATCTTGGGCCACTTTGCAACTTAAAATATTGCCAAATGCAGAAAATGTATCATACATTGCTTTATTGTCAATAGTTTTGTCAAGATTTTTTATGAAAACATTTCCTACGCCAGACTTACGCAATGATGGATCTCGTTGGGACCACATGATTCTAATAGGTCTTCCCTTGATCATATCAAAATTCATTGAGTCGAGGGCACGTTCAGCTAGAAATACAAAAAAATACCATAAGTGAAGATACAGTATAGTTGTTCATCAGAAATTTAAATTAATTTTTATTACACTTAATTATTAACCTGAAACTGTTAACTAGTGTAAGCATATATTAGTGCTACATTTTAGTATAACATTTATCTCTTTCAGTAAATTAAGTATTTTTATTTTAATTCTACTGATAATGGTTTGGTTTGTATACAAACAAACCTCACTATAGTGAGGAATCAGAATCTATGGAATATTGATGTACAACTGTGATTTATTGGCAAATATACTTATAAGTCTACTGGAAACAGCTTATTCAGAACCAGAATGGTTTATATATCTTATACCGTGGGATATCATAAGGTAACATAGAATGTATAAGATGATAGTATAAGGCAGGAGAAGCATAAAAGATTGGGGGAGAAGAATTGTTAGTAATGGGGCTGTTAGTTCCCACTGCTAGGACTATAACCCTGTCAGGTCCACATAGTTTCTCCTGGAAACCATAGTCTTGTTGTATTTGTTATGATGGGTGAACTGATCTGCTATCTTTCTGACTTATCATCTCTCTCTGGTGCCCAGTCAACATATACCAATAATGGAGGTGGGGTTTCCATAACATTATCATCTATTAGGCCCAAAAGAGCCCAACAGGTCAACAGGGGAACAGGCAACCTCAAAGGGGAATAAATAAGATAAGAAATATTAAACTATGATTGTTCAATTAAAAAAACATATTTAGAAATTGCATTTTTCGAAATAACAATTTTAGTTACCAGTATCTAAAACTGTTTGTTTGTTTCTAAAACTAAAACTCCTTAACATGTAATTTCTATACATTTCCCTTAAAGTCCAAATTATCAAGGTTTTATTTTTTTGGTGGATGAAAATGGAATGGTAACCCCTGCTGCGCTAACGGGATACGCTGGCGGAGCACCAGTGAAGGGTGATAGATGAGAATGAAAATAGGCCAGTTAGGCCATTATGATGAATTCATCAGGAATTAACCATGATAGTTTCCAGGGGGAACCACGAGGAGGTCGACCTGGTTGGGTATATTGCTAGCAATGGGATTTTTAGTCTCCATTACTAATAACAGTTCTATTGTATTATAAATGTAAAAGGGAATTTGTTTGTTACCTCTTGGTACTATAACAGCACAACCATTGATCATGCAATTTGATATACATGGGACAATACACATACAGGCATATTATTTGACAAAAGTAATTGAAAATTTACAGACCAGTAGTATTTCTTGTGTTGTGTAATAACCATTAGACTGGCATGTAAGTAAATATTTTTAAAATCTATTAATAATTAAGGATAATAAAGTGTAAAATAAATAAATAGATTTATGAATGCAAAGTTATGCATTAAAAGGGTACCACTGAGTAAAATATTTTATATATATATATATATATATAAATGCACATGTGAGTGTGAGTGAAATAGACAGTGGAAATAAAAATATCATGTACTGCGCAAGAGAAATATGAAAAAAATATATTTTATTGATGCATTTGTAAATAGATAAGTAATTCGTTTTAGATATTATTTTATGTATTTGATAATGCAATGCAGCACTAAAAGGAAGTGAAAGTTAATGATAATTAAACATTCAGTAGTGGTATTTTATTATACATTACAAGAAGTCAAGGTGGCTTAGTCATGATTTCACTCACTTGTGTAAATCTTTATATTGCTTACAACACAAAAATCAATCATTATTGCACAAGGTACAACTGAGTTTCATTAAAATTATGGATACATATATGAACTAAAATGACCTTGAAAATAAGTTAATATTGCGATAGAAACTTACCATCAGCTGGTTGCTGAAAATTCACGTAGGCGTAACCTAGGGATCTACGAGTTATCATATCTCGACAAACGCGAATAGAGAGAACCGGACCCGCAGTTGAAAATTTTTCAAACAACATGGCTTCAGTAATATCGGAGTGTAAATCTCCGACATACAGAGATGCCATAGGGTAATTTGGAGGTCCGGGATTCATGGTGTAATTTTAATATGACAGTTATATGTATAACATTAACTTGGTCGTACAAAAACTTCACTTTCTCTTTTTAATGACTACTATCGCATTCCTTAGACCACGTTGCACGCTTACGTACACTAACTTAAAATCAAGTGATTCCCGTTAATTTTTTTGTTATTTTACTATTTTTTTGGATTTTTATGAATTTTATGTTTTTTTTTTTTATTTTACAAGAATATTTCACGAAATTCTGAGGATTGTGTGACCTATTGTCGAGGGAACACACAACCTCACGTGAACACACCTCGCTCACCAAAGGAAAAGGTGACGTTTATAAAAGACAAAAGAGTAAGATGGCGTCGTGTGGCCATGACGCGTACAGTCACGTTTCGCTATTTTCATGTCTAGTTTAGCATTCGGCAAGTCTATGGATTTTTTTTTAAAAAATAATAACTTCCGTACACGGTCATTAAAAATACATATCATAGACTAAGTATAACACACTTACAAAGATTTTGAAGTATAATATTTTTTTCATAATATACACACCTCAACACCGTCTAGGGATATTTCATATACAGTTCTTAAATTTTAAAAATACTGGCCTTTTGTTTAGATATTTTATTGTATAGGTCTTTTTTATTCAAAAATTCTAATTTGAAATTTTCTGTTCTTTCTAAATTGTAATTTGAAAATATAATTAAAAACAATTGATTTGCGCGGCATTACTAAGGTGAAATTCGAATGTTTCAATTTACCTATCATAGCTTTTGGAAATCTTTTTTGTCAAATTAATGTTTTAAAGCAAGTTAGTGATTGATTCGGAATTTATGCGACTGTTTTCATCATGCAGCGGCGTCATTTAACAACTGACGGTTGCTGAGGCGATTGGAACAAAACAAAATGTGATATCAAGATTATGGTCACGTTATCGTGCTACTGGTGAAGTGGCTGAAAGACAGCCTGGCGGGAAGCTCATTACCACTCACCGGCAAGACCGATTTTTGCAAATTTCCGCGAGAATGCAACCAAATGTTACGGCCATGCAGTTAGTTTAAAGACTCCAGTCAGAACACCAGTCGCTTATGAGTGACGAAACTGTAAGAAGACTGCATGAAGCTAACCTGCATGCTCACAGACCGCTTCGCACTCCAGCGCTGCGCTAAGGAAATCGTGGACTAAGATTACAGTGGGCCCATGAACATTTGCTCTGGGAGGATATTCAGTGGTCTTTAGTACAGTTTACCAATGAATTCCGATTTGGTTTCCACCCTGATTCACGAAAAATACGTGTCTGGCGAGTTTTTGGTCGTGAGAGCCGTGTCTGACACGCTCAGGAAGTCTGTCTTTACCATTGCGGGACAATTATGGTTTGGGCGGGAATTCATGTCGGTGGCAGAACAGACCTCGTTTGGATCAGACACACCATGACCGCTGAAAAATACCGTAACCAGGTGTTAATACCAATTGTCCGTCCCCATCGACTACAAATGAGCAGACAGAATTCACACTCATGCAAGACAACGCCCGCCCACACACAGCGCGAGTCATAATCAGCTGCCTGCAGGATCACAATGTGTTGGTCTTAAGCTGGCCCGCACAATCACCAGACCTAAACCCCATAGAGCACGCATGGGGCATGCTCCAAAGAAGGGCTCTGAAGGATTTTCCTGCAAACATTGCAACTAAAGAGCAACATTTTTTGCATTTAAACAGGACCTGGGAGAATATTCCATAGCAAGGCTTTCAAATGATTTTTTCAAAGTATGAAAAACCGCTGCAGAACCGTTATAAATGTCATTGGTGGTTATACTGACTTCTAATTTTTGTATTATTTTAAATAACTTGAATACTTAGCTTTATTTTTCTTTTTTCTTATAAAAAAAATTCATGTTTTAATTTTACCATTTTTCCATTTTTAAAATTTTTTTATTTTAGTTAATTGAGATTATTCAAAATATTCCTAGATGATGTTGATGTGTGTACTTACGTACTAACAGATTAAAAATACAATAACAAAAAAAAAGACGTGTGGCAGTCGGGGACTGCCGCGGTAAAGCTATTGCATTTTTTATATATGCATTTTTATATATATATATATATATATATATATATATATATATATATATATATATATATATATATATATATATATATATATATATATATATATATATATATATATATATATATATATATATATATATATATATATACATATTGAGAATCGAAATTGAAAATTTAAACTATATGGGTGTGTGTTTATGTGTATAAAAGAGAGCTACTTTTAAAATCGCTCATTTCAAAATCCAAAATTTAGGTTATGTATTTTTATAGCAGTATTATATATAAATTCTAAAACAAAAACACTGCATTTGTGATAATAAATAAAATGTATTTATATAGAGTACTCACTCATTTTCTTTCCCTATTTTTTCATTACTTTCTTCATTAATAAATGCACTTTGTTTATTCATATTTAATATTAAAACACTTTATACACAAATTTTACGCGTACAGCTATTCACTGTTGGACATAGACGATAGATACCTATACACCTATATACATTCTCACAACAGCTGCTTACGTATTGGTCCAATTCCGGAGCAGCTCGCAAAAAGCACGCTGTCTCACCTAGCATTGTATCTAATAAAAGAGATAGAATCAGTTATGAGCAGTCAGCGACTAGTCTACACGCATACGTCTACTCGCACGCACACAAACACCGTGCCGAAGTCTGCCGAACTGAAACGACGTTAGACGATGCACGGCTTCCGTCCTCGCACCGCTCTGCCGCCGTAAGAGTGGGGGGTGTTAGGTTCCATTTCCGTTACGGAATTTTTACATTCGGTCTCCGCGCTCAAGGCCCGCGATAAAAGTTATACAATAGCTTAAAAATTAAACGAAAAAGCTAAGAACAAAGAACAACTAGCAATGCGCATATTTACTAATTTACTATTTCAATTGAACAATTCATTCGAACTATTCGAAGATTTACAAAATACTCATCATCACACATTGGTCAATTTTATATTTCTGTTTATAGTTTTATGCTATAACGTAATAACGTTAAATCTGCAAACATAAACTCATTGTATTAGTTCCTGTATATTGGAAGAATATTGTTTTCAAGATCCTGTATCTTGAAAACCATATTCTTCCAATATATAGGAACCCTACCCCTACCTACAGTTACCCTAATTTGAAAGCCAGGTCAAAAGAAATAACAATGCAATCACATATTTCTTAGTAAAGATTTACAAATATGTGATATTATTAAATATATTTCAAAGATATATATATTTCTTAGACATGTCTATATGAAGTTTTATTCGCAATTTAACAGAAGAACTAGGGTTATAGGATGAACATGATCCGAAGCCCGCCCTTTCTTCCCCTTAAATCCAATTAGTAAGAAGTGTAGTGTAATCGATTACATTGTCCTAGTCGGAGTTAGGTATCCATTTTTTTGTAAAATATCACGTTTAGTGATCATTCAAGAGCACTTCAACTTTTAAGTTATTCAACCGATTGTATACATCATATTTCTACATTGTAAAGCAATATACAATAAGTACCTATGTATATTTTTATAAATTTCAACTATTAGATATTATATGGGTAATGCTTTAATACATATATCAATATATATTTATAACATATATTGATTCTAAATTTTCCAGTAATATTAAATAGTGATTACGATTGATATTTGGTTGTCACCAAATACCAATAGAGAGAAGTAAATATTAAAAGAAAAAATTAGTACGGTACAAAGTGATAGGTACTTGTTTAATATATAAAAAAACAACAACATTTTGCCACACTCCAAATTTATTTATTACACAGTGTTCTATTGTTAACTTATTTAGTTTACACTGCACTTTTAACTAACTTGAAGGTCCACTTGACTAGCGACGCACGAGACGATTAAAGGTTTTAATCCCTTTTTAAGACTAGAGGCTCTCTACCTACATAATCTGTATGTTCTAAATATTTTATTTAAATAAGTAAAATGTTTCAAGCGTATTTACACATAAAACATGAAACTATAAGTGTTTTCTCCGTTTTTTATATTATATCCGGGTATAGCACACTTAATTCTAACTACATTCATGTAAAATTAATTTCACTTCAAAACGTAAAAATAATTAAAAATTATTTTCTTCATACTCCCGCCAAATCAGCTTTGAGCATATATTGTTCAAATTATGGGCCTATTATCTATCTCGCTTTAACATTATATTTTCCAAAGAACAAGGAATTAAATAGAAGGACTGATAAACTGCCTCCTTTCTTCTTATGCAAATATAATTAGTAAGTCAACGACGAAAGATACATCTTCAGTTGCTGTTTTTGTTAATTCATAGCAGGCTAGTATATAAAAAATGTTATACGGCCGTATAACCCTACTAAATCCTGCTTGTATACTTTCTACATAAACTGTGTTGAATATATAATCTAGTAATGTAAAATTTATCATTGTCAAATAATTGACATATTAAATATTTTCTATACACTAGCCTGTTATAAATCGAGAAAAATAGCAACTGATGGTGTATCTTTTGTCCTCTTTTTACTAATTATATTTGGCAACAAAGGGCAAGCAAGTAAAAGAGGCAACCATATAGACTGTTCATTAATTTTTCATAAATTTCAAGTTCATTGCTTTTTTAAAAGGTATTTCTAGATAGGGGAGAAAATTTGCATTTATTAAGGATATTTTTTGTGTACGAAAAATTTTATGATATTTAAGACACGAAATTTTATTATTATCGTAACATATATGTGTAATACTTAAAGGAAATGCAGATAATTTGGTAATACCCTATATGGATACTAATATATACAAACACATATTATATATGTATAAACATTATATACATAAACATACACATACTTAATAGTACACATACAACAGGAGAGAATGAAGGAGGAAGATGAAGAAAGAACGCAGGAAAATACTACCAAAGGGAGACATAGTAGGACTTAACAGGGTTTTTGAAACTAGTGAGTATTTGAGCACACCGAATAGAACCAGAAAGTAAATTCCACAAGCAAACTGCCTGAATAGTAAAGGATTTAGAATGAAAGGAAGAGGATCATTCTTCTTCCTTTTATTCTAAGTTCCGCTCATGCGCAAAATTTGAGGCGGAGGTTATTGACGCTGTGCAAAGTATGATCATTAGACTCACTGAGAAACACGAAATGATTTTTTAGATAATCAGAAGCAACGGGGTTAAAAAGGATTATATAAAGAAACGAATGGATTACGATGAAAACGGATAGGGAGCTACTTGAGCTGAGTACAAAATTGAGAAATGTGATCATATTTGCGAAGGCCAAATATGAAGCGAATACATATATTTTGAAGACGAAGAATTTTAGTACGTTCGTCTTAAATATGAGTTTTAACCACGTTGCTTACTGTCAACGAGATTAATCATTTTGCATCTGGAAAAATGTCTCAAAAAATTGAATAGCGTCAATTTATGAGTACGAATGGATGATCTAATGGTTAACTGTTTGCTTTATGCAGATAATGTAATTCTAGTTGCTCCTTCTTGTCGTCATCGTCGTTGATAGATATGTATACCTTATTAATTATAATGAGAGATGATCACATGAATCAAGGCTTGTAATTTACATTGCAAACAAAATTAAAGGAGCAATCTTTGAAAGAGAATATTCCAGAATTGATATTGTAGTTTTAGTATGGATGAAATTCACAATAGTATGAAAGACAGTAGATTTAAAAAAAAAATATAGATATAGAAATGAAAAAAGGCGTGTTACATTTTTTAAATGGATAATAATAATAAAACATATATATGAAGTGACAATTCCGTCCCTATATAAACTTTACCGTTCCTATTGGCATTTTAGCTGTTCCTTTCAGTCATATAGCCGATCCTATTTACAAATCTGGCATTTCTATTACCTCCATATTTCCATCATTATTATTAATGATAATAATAAAGCCGTTATTACTGAAAGTATTACATTCGTATTTTTCTTCCTCTTAATACTATAGACACTAACCTACATTTCCAGTTTTTTCTTTCACATAGGTTTCGTCAAAATCATTCTATTTTTCTCTGTCTTTCGTTAATCTATACCACAACTTTCCTGCTGTTCTTTTTGTCGTTCTCCTATCTTTTCTTCTGGCTTCCTTTCTTTCGTGTCTCATATATTGGATATCAGTCTGTGACTGATTGTGTCCATATGTTATTTTGTCTCCTGATGATATGCCCCGTCCACCTCTACTTGAGTTCTATTACAGTTACAGTACATCTTTCAATTTTGTATTTCCTTTTATGCAGTCTATTGTTATTTTATCTTTAATTTTATATTGAAAATGCTTCTTGCAAACTTGTTCTGGCAGACACGTAGTTTATTTAAAAAAATTCCTGTTAGAGACCAAGTCTAACATTCATATAATAAACATGGTTGCAGACACATATTAAATAATTTTTGTTTTTTTACTAAATATAATAATCTCTTTTTGAATATTTCTTTAAATGACCAGATTAGATTAGATTATGATCACATTGTAAAATTTATATATAATATATAGTCTATAATTAAAACCAATAACCGGATCAGGTGCTACTTGTAGGGACTGGTCCCTACAGGTAGCATCTGTTCACGAGTATGATAAATAAGCAAGTCATAATTGCGCTCAACCATATTTTAGGGAACTCAACAACCCAGCCTACCACGCCACCACCTGTCTAGACATTTTAGTTAGCATTTATTTAGCAAGATTTACTTAGTTACATCATGATTTACTTATTTTACAAGTTTTATTGCCGGGTAAAATTGAAGGTGGTAAACAAACACCCATAGCAATCAACACTGTATTTGGTTTTGTTCTTATGGGAATGACAGTGACAACTGCGTGGTCACTCGTTCCATTTTCAGTAAATTATTTATCAGTGGACGTTAGTTTGAACGATGCACTCCAAAGATTTTGGGAGTTCGATGACGTGCCATCATCGATTAATTCAAATCTATCTGATGAAGATGTTCGATATAAGGATATTTATCAATCAACACATGGCCGTGACATTGACGGCCACTATATCGTACAGTTACCATTTCGTGATCAAGAACCGACATTTGAGGGTTCATATGATGTAGCTCTTCTCATGCAACTGGAGAGACGTTAAATTAAAAATCCAATATTTCATCAAGAGTATTCAGCACATATTATGGAATATTTGTCAACAGGGCAAATGGAAGTCGTACCTTGGGATGAATGTATATCCTCGTCTGCCTATTACATACCACACCATGCAGTGGTGAAAACTGACCGCAAGCTGCGGGTTGTCTATGACGCTTCCACCAAAGATAAGCAGGGCGTCTCTTTAAATGATACTTTGTTGGCCGGCAGTAAACTTCAATCAGATATCAGTCTCATTATTTTGCGGTTTAGGTTACATGCCATTATATTTTTAGCAGACGTACGACATATGTAGTATCGATAAATCATCGTTGATAAAAAGCATCGTGATTATCAACGCATATTATTCAGAAGTTCACCTGATCAACTAATTCAAGAGTATCGTCTCAATCGAGTAACATTTGGTATGTCGTCAGCTGCATTTCGGGCCATCCGTATCATGCAGCAGTTGGCCCACGACGAGGAAAAGTATTTTTCTATAGTAGCAGAAATATTGCGCAATGATTTGTACGTTGATGACGTTGTTACCGGCGCACAAAACCTCTCCCACGTAGTAGAAATAAAGAATCAGCTTGTCGACATCATGGCTTCAGCAGGCTTTGAACTCCGTAAGTGGTCCTGCAATCGGTTTGAAGGGTGGGATATGGCGTGAATTTACTGGGTACAGAGGAATAACACCCGCGTCCTCAGGAATGGCAACGCATGGGGGGTATCATGGGCGAAACAGTATACTCTGTTATGTCCATGGTACTGCTCATGTCTATAGGCGACGGTTACCGCTTTCCATCAGGTGGGCCGTCAGCTTGTTTGCCATTCTAAGTTGTATAAAAAAAAAAATCACGCGGCTGTTCTGCAAGATAAAATTGTGTCGTGTTCCTAATGAGGAATAGCATTTATTTATTATTCATAACGCTTATGGTATCATTATATATTTTGTATATTTATCTATGTATATCACATGTATCACGTGACACATCAGTTATTAACGTTATCAGCGTTCACACTTGCAGAAGACTTGAGTGAACAGTTCTTCATTTTGTATTGTTATCTGGCTTCAATTCAATTCGCCAGCAGGTAGGGGAGGGGTAGAAATGTTAGAACATTAAAACAAGTACATTCAATTGTCCCGCGCTCTCCCTTTCCATTCAACCTATCAGCGAACTCGACCAATCAGAGCTGCCCAAAATGACAACATTCGAGAAACAACAAAAATCACCGATGGTGGCCGTTTCGCGCGTTCAGAATAAAATAATCATAATTAATGTGCTTCAATGAGGCATTCATCCAAGTTTGTAGCTAAAAGTGAACCTAGGACGATCGACAACTCGTACACTTGTGGGCAGCTCCAGGCAGACTACAACAAGAATACTCGTAAGTCCTTACATCTTTTCTGTACTCGTTCACTTGTGCCGGTATTTTACAGCAGTAATAAAGCCCTATTATAAGTTTCTACACTCCTCTTAAATCAATTTTCATGCCAATGATATTGTGATATATTTTATGATGATCACGTGGTTTTACTACACTGGTACCAAGTGCAGGGAGGTGCGCTCTATTCAACGGTTGAATAAGAAGTGCCTCCTTACCCTTTTTTTCTGAATGTGTTTGCTGTTAAGTGTGGATGGCCTTTACAGTTTCACTGAACATGTATGCAGGAGCGAGTGCAAACGGCAGTCCAAGCCCGTGAGAGGGGAGCGACAGAAGTGTAGACTCTTACTTATGGACTGCGACGTGCGCCTAAGGGCGCCAGAGTGGCTCGGAGCTCGGCTTAGGCCACCGCACTTCAAGTCCCGTCAAAAGACGCCGAAGGGTCGGTATGTCGTGATGGGTGGGAACTCGGAGTTGTTGGAATGCGCTCGAGGCAAACCTGATTGCGCGCGGATCCTGTGTTGCGTAAGATCTTCATCCCCGCCAGCGGGGACGGTGTGTGCGATGTGCGGGTGTATTTGCAGGGGATCTCAACGAAGATTCCGCGGTAAGGAGGGTGGGGAATGCGTTGGCTATCGTAATGAAATTGTCAGGGTCCAAGAGTACATGCCTCGGGCGACAACGTCTGGGAGTAACGTTCCCCGTAGGGGGGGCCTCCCTACTCAAGTAACAATCTTTTTATATCTACGCGGCCGAATTCGAGTAAACATATCAGCGAAACCATATGTTCTTACAATTTTATTACTTTTTATTAAAGTATCATAATAATAAATAATTATAAAATCAATTAAAATATAAATTAATGTTTTATAATTATACACTACAAGAATAATTTATTTCAAAATTTGGTATAATAACAATTTTAATATTTTATTACTTTAAAGTAGTCAGTCTGATTTTTATTAATAAATGTAGGTACATATTTTGACACAAGATGTTTAAAGATACTAATATAATTTAAAAAATATCTAACACATCCGTAAGAAAAAGAATTTGATCTTAATTTCAATATATCAAAAGCGTTGATTTTGTTATCTTTGCTGTTTATTTTGTCATCATTATTACTGAAGTTCAAATATTTTTATTGTATACAAAAAATATACAAAATCTTGAGTTATTTGAATAAATGCAACTTCAGAAAGTATAAAATATTTTAGTAACAATACTTCTGATAAATACTCATTTCTATTTGTTGAATTATATCGTAAGTTTAAAAGCCTAAAAATAGTCAAGTATGTGGACCGATTTAGAAAATAATAATATTTATGCCAATGTATGAAAATTCACATTGTTTTGGTGTGATAGAATGAAAAATTAAATGTTGTACTATTAGGTGAAATAGCTAAAAGTTATATATAGAGGCAATAATATTTATTTTCTCTACTCCGAATCTCAATCCTGGTTCCATCCCTATTTATTCTCTATCCATATTCACCCCATTTACGGTACTCTGCTACTATTACTCAAGCGGTTACTTACTCTGTGCTACTCAAGTACGTAGAACTTTTCTACTTACCTGACTGTTTAAAATTCCAGATAGTTTATCATATTGAAGACTAGGCAGCATGGTCTCCGACCTTAGCCTGCTCCATAACGTAACAAACATACTAAAAAAAATTAAGTAACTGTCAATGTCAAAGTGTCATATTTATTTTTCTCTCTTTCTTTCCAATTTTGGCTCCGGTTAGTAGTATATTTTAATCTGAAATAATTTTTTACATATCCATATTATATCACGAAATAATGATTTTGATGAAAGTGCATATAATGTATTATTTAGATAATGTCATATTTCATTTTACATTTACTTTTAGGTGAACTTGTTGTACAAACATGGGGAAAGGTAATAATATGATACCAAATGGCCATTTCCACAAGGATTGGCAAAGATTCGTGAAAACGTGGTTTAACCAACCTGCTAGAAGACATCGTAGAAAGCAGAATCGTATCAAAAAAGCGAAGGCTGTTGCTCCGCGTCCTGCGGCAGGACCACTTCGACCAGTCGTTCGTTGTCCTACTGTTCGTTATCATACAAAAGTTCGTGCCGGGCGAGGGTTTACTCTCCGAGAAATAAGGGTAAATTTGTAGGAATAATTCTAGTTTATTAACTAGACAGTGAGTCATGAAAATTACCTATCAAACGAAAGTACTAACTTTGTCAAATTCCCATTAATATATCTAAATTGTATGAATTTTAAAATCTGCATCTAAATTCTGCTATAATATAATCTTTATTAATATCATAAATGTGAAAGTGAGCTTGCATGTTCCGTCTTAATTAATTATGAAATTTGGGATCCAGGTTAGGCAATGAAATTCAGGGTAAATTCTAGTTTATATTGTGTGTCTGTAAAAATGTTTGAATTTCTACATTTTTTTTAATGGATGATACTGGAATCGAATTGTATCAGTCAATGGTCAGATAGCTCATCATGATGAATACATATTGAATTCAGCATGATAGTTTTCAGAGTGGACCACATGGAGGTCAGTTTGTTAGGGTATGTTGCTAGTAATGGGACTGGTAGTCTGCATTACTAATAATAAGAATCTATGTGTTTGAATGTTGGTTATTCAGTCATATATTAACAGCTGAACAGATTATTTTTTTATGAGTAGTTTATAGTCAGTTGATAACTTGGAGTTCCATGATGTTTGTAGTCTTACTTGTTTTGCTTTGTTTGAACATGTTAAATGCATACCAAAGTATATTATAGTTTCACTTGTTGTATTTTAACTTATATGTGAAATGTAGCATATTTACATTTTTAAATTTTAATGTATGCCTTACAGGCAAACATTTAGTTTTAATTTTAAACTGTAATTTTTAGTTTACAATCTTGTGTTTCTTTTCACCTAAGTCAATTTCTCACTTTTTTTTTAAACCTTTAATTTGGTTTTATTGTTTATAGCTTTTATGTGTAAAGTTTATTTATACAATTTACACTTGTTGTGAAGCCATGGTTGTTAGTATTTATATAGTTTTATTTATTCCAATAAATTGTTGTTACTATTATTAATTTCAGGCTGCTGGGCTGAATCCTGCATTTGCTAGGACCATTGGCATTGCTGTGGACCCACGTAGACGTAACAAGTCTGTTGAATCTTTACAAACAAATGTTCAACGTTTGAAAGAGTACCGTGCACGTCTCATCCTCTTCCCTAAGGGCAAAAAGGTACTTGCTTTCCTATGTATTCATAGTTTGACATATTTATGAATGCATTTTAAGTTTTTTATTGTTCTTGGTCCTGGTGATAATATATCTTTATTGATGATTAACTCTCAATATAGACACCAGGTTCATTTAAATCAAGAAAATGTATAAATGTAATTTAATTATAATTTTATCAATTGGCAGCAAACAAAAGTTAAAAGTTTAGATTTTTTGTATGTATGAGATAGATAATAATCTACACTAATATTATAAAGAGAAAAGATTTGTATTTTTGTATGTATGTTTGTAATGAATAAACACAAAAACTACTTTGCTGGTTTCAAAAATTTTTTCACCATTAGAAAGCTACATTAACTCAAGGTGTAAAAAAATGCTATCTACTAGTTTTTTGTAGTTATTAATATAACTACAAAAAATTTCGCGATACTATATGTTCAACTATATATTGTTATGTCACAATAACCACTTTTTACATTTTAAAAGTTGATAGAAATACCGAGCATAATTACACCATGTTATTCATACTTCTGTTTAAATCCTTATCCAAATAAATGTAAATAAAAAAATATATAAAAAACTTAGTCAATTTAATTAGGTAGGATCAGATAAAAATGTAGAGTAAATAAAGATTCATTATAATATTTGGCCTATAGGTATTGAAGGGTGAGGCAAATGAAGAGGAACGCAAATTAGCCACACAACTTCGTGGTCCTTTGATGCCTGTACAACAGCCTGCACCCAAATCAATTGCACGTGCTATCACTGATGAAGAAAAGGATTTCAAAGCATACCAATATCTTAGAGGGGTATGTATTTATTTTAAATATAAAAATGATTTTTCTCATGATTAAAATTGTGAATGACTTTTGCAGATTTTCGACACAATTATCATACCATCATAATTAAATGACTACCCTCCCTCTCTTGCATCGAGAAAATGATATTGTAGGATAAAAGAAAAATGCTATATTGTGCTATAATGCTATATAGGCCCAACAAGAAAGTTAATCTATGAAAAAGAATTATAAAAATTGGTTTAGAATAAGCAATGTATCACGCAGTATTCAAAAGAAAGTCATTAAGTGCGAATTGAACTGACAATAGGACTCGCCCAGTAAAGGTTTCATATACAAAATAAATGGTATTGTTATTAGGATTTTCTTACTGTGAGTCATTATTGTCATTAAAAACCAGATTGAATATTGATAATAATTCATGCCTTCACAAAATTTGAAGATTGTGAAGCGAGAAATCAATACTGGTACTACTTCTGATGGTGATTTTGAGTAGATTTTCCTATTTTCATAAATTGAAAACTACTGGACATAAAAAGACATAACCAGTTTTAGAAAGTGCAAATAATTCCCTTTAATATAAATGACTTACTTGGACTAATCAACCAATACGTATAATAAAATTGTAACTGGTTGCTGATTGTATGTAGAAGATATATAAGAAAAATTATTATATTGGGGGCTTTATGAACCCAATAGAACCGAAAACAATGATTTTTAGTAGTTTTGTGTTTGTCTGTTTGTTTATGCACACTAATTTCAGAAATGGTTTAACCAAATTGAACGCCATCTTCACTAATGTTTTGCAGTTTACCTCGCTGTAAAACGGCAATTAATGCTAATAATAATGGTGGTATATTTAATATAAACAAATAAGTCACTTTGTCTCTTCCACCCATTAAAGCCATAAAATTTTGCTAAGTTCTTATTTTATTCCATCCCAATCAACTTCCATAATATTTCTCGAATTTACTTTCAGAAAACTAAATAGTAGATAACTTCCAGCTGTTTTAAGCAATTTATATATTATTTTTATATGTATATACTGAAGAATATGAGTTGTTTATGAATAAATATGTTTTTTATCTTTCTCCTTCATTAATCTTCATTGTTGAATAAATTATTACAAACTTTCAGGCTCGCTCAATTGCAAAACTTGTGGGTATCCGTGCTAAGAGATTGAAAGATGCTGCAGAAAACCCAGATGATGTCACTAAGGCTCCTACTGCTGTAAAAGAGGCGAAAGCTAAAAAGTGATTGTAATAATTAAATAAATGTAAACTGAAAACTGGTTTTATTTTATTAGTACACTAACTTTTGTCCGCAACTTCGTCTGCTTGGATTTTGGAATACAAGTAGATTTTGTTCCACAAAAAAAGACTTTGATTATGACAAAACCAATTCTGTATTTTGATTTAAAAACTAAACTATTAAACTGATTTTGACAAAATTTCTGTGGGATCGAATAAAGAGCATATCCTTTCAGATAAAAAAAGGATTCTCCAAATCGGTTTAGAAATGACGGGAGTTTTTACTTCAGAACTCCGTCATTTATCCTTTCAACTGTGTCATGCAAAATGGTGGAAAATACATTTGTGGTGTCTCGTGAGCGGACTTTAGACAGACTAGATATTTTTAGCGTATAGGTTTAAAAAACCTAATTTTTCCGAAATCTAACTGGAATTATACAAAATTCAGTTTAGATTATATTCCAACTAGATTCCTTATGTAATTTCTTACTCTACACTCGAATTGCATTGCAACTGTTCTATGAGAAAAAAAATGGGGTCACCTATAAATTACCTTTTATTTTCCAATTAATAAAAAACTAAGTCCTTGCTGGATGTAAAATTATATATTTTTTTGTATAATATTATATACTTGATAAAATTAAAATAAAATGGCTTATGTTCCAATACATTTTTTGGTATACAGCACTTGTTTATAAACATGGACCAAAAAAGTCCCTTTTCATTTGACACTTAAGTGGGTCTCCTATTTCATTATTTTATGTAGATTCTTGGCGTTAGGGAGAAGGGGTGGTTTGTTTACAATAATTTAAGCTTATCGCCAAGCTAGTTTAAACAAAACAGTATATATGACATTATTATCTATATGTCCGCTAAGCGGACGCGACATAGAAACGCATTTTTTCACTTCACATAGTTCTGAATAACATCTGCAAATGTAATAAAGATGTGGGCCATCTAAGTCATATTTTCCTTCGTTCTCGTCTATCGTTCCTCATTATTGCTTTTATTTCATTAAAAATTCCTTTTCCTACATCCATTAAAAAATAGTTTCGTGCCTCCAGTCAAACTGTTTATAGTTACTCTTCTCCAGAGTTCTCCATCCAATAAAAGTTACCAGAAAGAGATCGCTTTTAGTGATAAGGCCGCCCATTGTTTTCTTAGTGTAATATTGTAATTGTATGCATTTATTACAAAATTACTATTATAATCTTATGGAGGAAACAAAGAGTATCTATCCAGTTTATGCCTGTTAGCCCATCCTGATCCTTTGTCTTAAAACGCCTTAGAAATTTTATCAAAATCGATTCAGTATAGTACATTACTGCAGCGGCCAGCAACTGAGGCATTGAGGGGGGAAAGGGATTGTTAGTAATGGAGACTGAGAATCCCATTGCTAGCAATATACCCAACCAGGTCGACCTCCTCGCGTTTCCCCCTGGAAACTATCATGATTAATTCCAGATGAATACATCATGATGGGCTAACTGGTCTGTTTTCATCTTCATCGATCACCATTCACTGGTGTCCCGCCAGCGTATCCCGTTGGCGCAGGCGGGGTTACCATTCCATTTTCATCCAATTAAAAAAAAACGCATTGATAGACGAACGTGCAAATGTGGGCCGAGGTGTCGCCGAGGCACACATACGTGAGTCCATCAATGCCTAGTAGTAGCCAAGGCTTGTATAGTACTTTTCTCAAACAATGCGCGGAAATAAAAAACAATTTTATTTTTTAAGTTCAATGACGAATAACGAACAACAATAATTTTTCACACGCCATAATGTTCGTTTGTTTTTTTTTTCAATAAACAGTTTTCCATTTGCAAGCCAGTTCGAAATTTAAATAAAACCTTTTATTAATTACCTCCTTGGTAGCCATGTATCGAAGTAAAAGGTCATTCCATTTTTAAGTTACAGGACAGATATGAGTTTAAATAGTAATTTATCTGGCCATAAAACACGATAGATATGGATTTTCATACAACTTTTGCCAGCCGTTGCCCGCATGTATTTTTTCGTGTTTCAACCGTGAAGCAGTTGTGTTTGCATGGCTGTGTTTCGGTTTGAAGGGTGGGATATGGCGTGAATTTACTGGGTACAGAGGAATAACACCTGAGTCCTCAGGAATGGCAACGCATGGGGGGTATCATGGGCGAAACAGTATATTCTGTTATGTCCATGGTACTGCTTATGTTTATAGGCGACGGTTACCACTTTCCATCAGGTGGGCCGTCAGCTTGTTTGCCATTCTAAGTTGTATAAAAAAAAAAAAATGTATCTGACCAGACGGCAATTTTAATTTATTTCAAAGGTTGTCAAAATAATGCTCACATTTCCAAGCATGTTTGAGAAATAAGTTTTAAATAACTAGATTTGCCACAATTAAAGACGGTATTTTTGGAATAATATAGTTTCTAAAAGTTTTGCAGAGGTAGCGCCAGCATTCTCTAGTCAATTGGTTTTGTCAATGATTTATAAATCTCTGTGCTGGCATGGTATGGCATTTACCGCAGTCTGGGTGTGTTATTTCAACATTGTCAACATTTTCATTAGAGATGTAACGGAATGTCGTTTGGCAAAATACCGGATATTCGGCAAGCTGTGAGGCCAGATAGCTCATTCGACACGGTGCATGTTCTAAAGTCTAGCGTTGCATAGGCGAACAGTTACAGGACCAGAACATAAGATCTTCGGACGGCGAGGAAACTAAGTATAATCTTAAGTGAATGTAGGTAGCATAAGTGAAAAATATAAATATAGTCATTCATATATTTGTATCGTGCAGGTATGGAACCGCTAAGTAGTAAGGTTGTCAGGTAATAAATACAGACATTGGAGCATTTATTAAAACATAATTATCAGACCAAAATGTATTTTATTTATTTCTCCATATATATGACAATGGTTACAATAATACCTGTTGAGCAGGTACAGAAATATAGAATATTTAGTGTTTAGACAATTAATAACTATATTGCTAAATATTAAATTTTAAGCAGGGACATTAACTTCAACATTATTTTTCTCATTCGAAGAGGAGTCTACTCCAATTGTGGAATCATTTTCTTCACCATCGCCAGTTTTCGATTTTTTATCACTTTTACGAAACTTGTCGTACCTGTAACAAAACATGATAATGAAACAAAAAGTAATAAGAAAGCGCAACGTATTATTGCATAAATAGTTACAAAGCAACAGATTAATTTAGAAATCCAAATCTTTATATTACGGAAGAACATAAAATGGGCGAAGTTTATAATTTACGTTTCATAGTTTTAAATCGGATCTAAATTTGTGGCATGGTAACTAAAAAAAGTAGGTATGCTGTTGTAATATTACAACAGCAAACGAAAATTTAAACACCGGCAACGCCGGCCTGCAGTTGTCATTATGCTATCGAGAATATATGTAGTATGCGTGCATTTCTTATAAGTATAGTTTTTTCTACGTACAAATTAGAAAGGTAGAAGAAATTTTTTTTTTTACAGCTCATGTTAATGATTATGTAGCTTATATATGTGAAAGAATTTATTTTACAATCGATTAAATATTTCTTGGTTTTATCCATTACAAAAAAAAATAATTTTCTCATCTTTAGAATATTATTTTACCTACATTTTAATGTTAATATACATGTTAAATATCTCCCGTCCGTTTTTTTTGCTCTTTATTCAATGCTTTATAAAAAGTGTTACAGTGATCGGATTTAGTTCGAATATGCGCCGTTTTGTTCGATAATCTGTTTCTATCTAGACGGCAACTTCATAATACCCCCTCGTAGAAGCCCCGAATTTGCGAAGAACTCGGACAGCCACTTTTCACAAGCCTCTTTTGAGTTCAACTTTACCAAGGGCGTTAGCCATGGACAGGAACAGGTGGTAATCACTTGGCACACTAATCACTTGGAGAGGCAAGGTGACAGTCATCACGAAAATTGAGCTCTTAAATTTTTGTAATTTTATAAATAGATATAGTATTTCAAACATATTAATAATACATTATAAGCGACTAAAGTAATTCAAATATTTGTTATAAGTGTTATCTAACTTAAAAACTTACGAAATAAAAAATTACGTTGTTATAATCAAAAATACACAAGATCTACAGAATTTTGAACCCAAAACAAAAGTGATAATTTTTTATAAGTAATCGTCGAAAGTGATAATATTGGAGTAACGTGAAATACTAAAACTACCATTATATTTAGTTAAAGAAGACTGAAATCTATATAAAAATCATAATATGTGCTATTTATATTAAATTTGTGGGTGTGAAATTGTGTTAAACAAAAAATTAAAAATTGTGGGTATTAATAGAAATAGTAATCTGTAACTGTTCTACAATGTTTCTAGCAAATAAATTTCATTTCATTTCATTTCATTTCACTAAGTCCGGGCTATATGGTGGATGCGATAAAATCTCCCATTCGAGCTCCCGTAGCTTCTGACGAATCATCAACGAAGTGTGTGGTCTGGCGTGGGCCTGGTGGACCACTACGCCCTTCCTGTTGGCCAATTCTGGACGCTTCTGGTCGATCGCCTGCTTCAAGCGGTCCATTTGTTCACAGTAGATGGTAGAATTAAGCGTCTGGCCATATGGGAGCAGCTCATAGTGAATGATTCTCTTACAATCCCACCAAACACACCAAAACCTTCCTGGCCGTCAATCCCGGCTTGGCCACTGTTTGGGACGATTCACCGGCCTTCGACCACGACCGTTTTACTTGATATTGTCGTATGTGATCCATTTTTCGTCGCCAGTCACCATCCGCTTAAAAAATGGGTCAAGTCGTTCCGTTTCAGCAGCATATCGCAAGCGTTGATTCGGTCCAGGTCTTTTTTTGCGTCAAATCATGAGGCACCCAAACATCAAGCTTTTTTTTGTATCCAGCCTTCTGCAGACGGTTTAAAATGATTTAGTGACTAACTCCCATCTCCTGGGCGATGTCACGAAATGCTACATGCCGGTCTAACTCGATGTTTTCCATGATTTGATCGGTATTCGTCGTTACAGGTCTTCCGTCGGCTGGCTTATCCATGGTGTCGTTTTCACCGGATCTAAATCGTCGAAACAGTTCCTCCGCGGTTTGAAGTGATAGAGTACCATCCCCCAAAAACACCATTAACGTTTCTCACGGAACGTTTCTCTAGCGGAATTTCGGCGTTTGAACTCCATGTTTACAGGTCTATAACTGTTGAAAAACAAACTATATAAATAGCGCGAATTTCGGCGATATATAGTGAACTCCATGTTTACACGTCTATAACTGTTGAACGCAATATCCAAACTATATATGTATGCATAGCGTCGTTTTGTAAGTTATGTCAAGACCTTTCAAATGATATATATCTATACTTTTTTGTAAATGAAAATAAGCATTTGTAAATGACAATCAATAAGTTTGCCAGATATCAAATCGATATTGTCTGCGAATGTTCACGACCACTGTATCGGCCTTCCCTCGAGAAGTCTCGGAATCGACATACCCAGAATAATGTAACTTGATTTTAGCTCCAGAAATGTACGAATTCGAATTTTCTCTCGAATTCGTAATTGATTCGAATGCACGAGAATTGGCCTCCAGACTGCAACCACGGCTGTTATAACCAACTCGATATAATTGCTAAATAATCATGTCAATTTCTGTGTAATACTATGTCATATAATATAACAAATATTTCTTAATTATTTACCTGTCAAGATCATCATCATCGTCACTTCCTTCGTTACCCTGTGGGTCAACTTCTCGAAGGAGTTCTCCTATGTCCTTGTCAACATCTGCCCAGAGTTTGTCTTCACTTCCTAAATTTTATAAAAGAAAGATAAGCACTAGAAAAGGAAAATGTTTTTTATAGCCGCTACTTTTAGTGTCTGAGGGCCTACCATGAAATGTTTTCCGAAATTTCGGAACCAAACGAAACACAAATTTGACGTTAAAATTACATTATACATGCCGTTTGAGAAATATTAAAAATGTTAAAATATTGGTCCCTTTGGACTTGTATGATAGGATGTATGACGAACGAAATGTTAAACTCCATTTATTGATCGGATTTTGGTATAAACATGAATACGAAATTGAGTCCGAAATTTCGCAATTTCATTTCATGGTAGACCCGCTGATTGTCTGATGTTATTATTTAAATTTTAGGATGAGGAACACACAATATAATTAACACTAAACTATTACAAGATAAACATGCTTTGCTATAATGGTCATGTATGAGATATTTAATTTACTATTTATAGTAGAAATTGAGTTTGACACATGTGTGAAGATATTTTGTTTGACATATAATTCAATATAATACTACAATAATGAATTTGATTTGTCTTATAATTTAAATAATCTTAAACTTGAACTTTACTTTGTATTGATGCAAATTTATAAATGTAAAAACAACATTTATTAAAAAAAAAAAGCAACAGTTGAGTTTCTTGGTTGCTCTTCTTAAAAGAATTGCATTCCGAATGGACAGTAGAAAAAATATTGTTAAAAATGATCTTAATTAAAACGTATTCTTATTCTTAGAAAAGAATCATTATTACGATTCCTGTAAAGCGCCTATTGTTTATTGTTTTAGGTGCGGTAAATAGCTAGATAGACATGAAGATTATAGATCAGGGTTTGATCACAGACAAATTATCGATGTTGCAGGTAAACCTCAACTTTATATAAAAATGAAGTGTGTTTACTGTTAAAAATCTTAGTTTAGTGTTACAAGATGTTTAGTTGTAAATCCCATCGGCAAAAATACCATTAATTTACCAATTTTAGTTCTAAATTAGATGCAATAAAATATGATAAAGAATTTTTAGAGGATTTACATAATTTTTCTTTTTTTTAATATATATATATATATATATATATATATATATATATATATATATATATATATATATATATATATATATATATATATATATATATATATATAGGCTGAACTAACCAGATGCATTTGTTGCATCTCCGCCATTTTCTAATTTCTTCTTATTCTCTTCCTTAGGTTCTTGCTTATCAGATTTTATTTTATCATTTGAATCATCTGTCTTGGTAACATCTTTTTCATCCTCTGCAAATAAAAATAGACAGTTTCACTTCATATTACGGTTTCTTATAAATATATATATATATATTCTTTATTGCACAAAAACATACAGTAACAACAATAAGTTAATAACAATGTTAGCAAAGGCGAACTTATCTCTAAAAGAGATTTCTTCCAGTCAACCTAACGCAGTGGCATAGGAAGTAGTGAGTGGGCAGTAGTAGTGCAAGACAGAAATTTAAATAAATATTTACATAAATTATAAATAATTATATATATACACACATACATTCACATATATACATACATACACATACACATATATATACATATACACATACACATACATATACACACATACATACACACGTTAAATACAACATATAAATATCAGATACAAGAGAACACAATGATGACAGTCTTCTAATCATTTTTATATTTAAATTAAATTGGAAAGATAAAATGATTTTAATCTTTTTTTGAAGGAACTGCTAGACGGGCTATTCTGAATGTTCACGGGAAGTTTATTCCACAGCTGTACAGCACGATATGCAAATGAGTTACCCATAAAATGGGTTTTACAGTTGGGAAGCTTCAGTACCCTGGACTGGTTCAGACAAAGACGTCTAGGTCTGGAAGGAGGAGGTAATAATTGGAACCGGGAACGAAGGTAGGAAGGAGAATTGGGATCATTAAGGATATTATATAGGACCGCTAGGACATGTGTCTCATGACGATGTCTAATTGGGAGCCACTTTAAACGAGTGCGGCATTCCGAGACATGATCATATTTTCGTAAGCTGAAAATAAACCTTATCGCTAAATTTTGCAACCGCTCAAGCTTATTTAGCAGCTCCTCGGTCACATCTAAGAAACAGACATCGGCATAATCCAGAATGGGAAGAAGAATAGATTGTGCAAGCATAATTTTGGTATTGAAAGGGAGAAAGTATTGGAGACGTTTGAGAGTGATATGAAAAGTACATCCGTCTACTAATGTCATTAATATGAGAGGTCCACGACAATGTACTATCCATAATAAGTCCTAAGTTTTTCACTTTATCAGTATAAGATATCTTAGTACCCTCGTATACCAATGGAGGAATCTGAGACCATTCCAACTTACATCTCAGCCTGCCACTACCGACAATCATAGCTTGAGATTTGGCTGGATTAACAATAAGACCAAATGATTTAGCCCAGGAGTGAATAGCCAGTAGATCATCGTTTAGAGCTGAAGTTGCCTGTGTAACCTCAGACAGCATAAAGTGACGATACAACTGCAGATCATCCAATATAATAACTATCAGCATGTAATGATAATCTATTCTATATTATTTATATAATAAAATTGTAACTAGGAAGTCTGTACATAGATGTTATATAAGGGCTTTTAATAAAAGGAATAGAAGGCAAAATAATAACTTTTAGATTTTTGTCTATGTGTTGTGTTTGTCCTCACATCACGGATAAACTACCGCGCTAACTTTGATGTAGTTTTTATAATGGTGTCCTTGAAGATTTAAATAAAAATTACTATTATATTATATTACTATATCCCGCAATTTCGCTTGCTTCTAAATCAATCGCTAGGAAAAGCGTATTAGTGGAATGTAACGGTGGTGAACGTAGCGGTCCAGGCGGATATGCATGCGGGATTATGTTAGAGTGCAGGTGAACGGGACAGGGGCGGGTACCTTTCTGCTGGTGCAGTTGGCGGTGGATGCGCTCGGCGTGCTTGCGCAGGGTGCGCGTGTCGCGGTGCTGCACGTAGCGGCCCAGGTGGATGCGCATGCGACAGTGTCGCCGCAGCGACTCCGCCTCCTCAGCGCCGCCCGCTTCCGCTCGCGGCAAGTACACGCGGCATAGCTCGCACCACCACACCTGTTTTCCAACAATATATATGAATGAATGTAGGAATGAATTCACATCATCACTGCTACTTCTCATTTATTTTATAGTTACTGATTAATTACAATTTCTACCCTCATTAAAAGTAAGAGTTCTAAAAGGCCACTGGGTGTGGATGATTGGAAATAACATCGTAACAATTGTTTCACTCTGTCAAACTCTCTTTATATAATAATAGACTATGAGTAGTAACACACCTCTAGTTTTTTAATATGTTCACTTCCAATATTTATTTCAACTTTAGGTTTCTTTGGTGATGAGTCTTCTTTCTTTTCACCGCCTGAATCATCATCTTCAACTTCTAAAACATAATTTTAAACAAGACATGTAAGTAATATTTCAATACGCAAAATATTTATAAGCAGCAGTGTCCAGACAAAAATCACTAACCATCTACATCACCAACAGAATCCAAAGTCATAAAGTTATCCAAGTCGACATCCATTCCCTCATCACCACTAGCTTCAGCTTTCGGACTTGCTCGGCGGACGGACTGACTTGCTTTTTTCTGAAAAATAAACACGTTACATCATACATCTATCTCGATGACATTAAAGTCTCGGAAAAGGGTGGATGCGGTCTCACCTTGAGGTGGTCGAGCGAGCAAATGTGGTGCTCGTAAATCATGGGCGAGCGGAAGGTAATGCGGCAAATGCGACAGAAAGGCATGAGGAAGCGCTTCATGGCCCGGTGCGTGTCGGTGAGGTTGTGCGCCTGACGCGTGGTGCGGTAGTTGAGGCGGCACACGAGGCAGAAGGTGGTGCGCGCGGCCAGCTCGGCGCCCGCCGCCGCCTCCAGCTCGCGCTGGGCCGCGCGCTGCGCTACGCGCATGCGCAGCAGCTGCGCTTTGTGACGCCGCGCCACCGCCGACATCGCCGCGCGGTGCCTGCTCGATAGCAGGTGCTTTGCGTACCCCTACCACACGTATCACGTTTAATATATCTATATATTATTTCCTCTGAATTTGTTAAACACCCATACAGTATTTGAGAGATTTTTTGTTATACATATACATGGGTTAAAATACACACAAAACTATGTAAAGATTTATATCGACTTGTACTAACACCTTATATATTAATGTTTTACTGTAATAATTATCATGTCATCTCTTACACATATAAATAATATTATACAAACAAATACTCACAGAGAATGTCGCGCATTTTTCCTTGCAATGGACGCATGATAAATGTACATAAGTAGGAACACGCGGGGGCGCCGCTTCTGACGCCGTGTCAGGTTCTTTATCAGTGTCTTCACCCCCATCTTGCTCGCCGTCAGATCCTTCTTCCTCGGGCTGCCAACCAAATGTTGAATGGTTAATGTTTTGCAATACACGGCCCTTCATTTATGTCTATGAGGATAAGTCACAGTAAACAGTTAATCATAAGTAAAATAAGGGCATCAATTGAATGCATTAAAATATCTTTTTTTTACCACTTTATCTTTTTGGTGTGAAAGCCTGCAATACTAGAGGTGCCACGCGTACGTTAGCGCACTGAAAAACCCTTAATATACTTTTTTGAAGAATCCCATACTGTAGTCTCTGGAAATACTGAGCAGAAGCTCATTCTAAAGACTGAGTATTCGCTGGAGGAAACACACCTTTGAAATCGCTCTGTACGTGACCATTTAAGTTCTAACATGTAAAGATAAACTAGATTTTGATAGTCCGTATTTTGAAAAACCTAATTAACATTGAAATCATATTATTATGAAGATCGCCAAGGTGTCCTTTGCAAATTGATAGTAAGACATTTAAAAAAAATCTGATTTTCGGTGGTGTGAGTTTTAACACTATTGAATTAGGATCAAATCGAAATTACATCAAATACAAGTATGAGGTAATGTTCATTATTATGTGATAATTAGCTAAAATTACAAATCTCTATAATCAACAATCATAGTACGATATGAGATGTTTAATTTAAAATAAAACGCAGGTATATAGCAAGGTAATAATAATACAGTAAGGTGTAAAGAACAGATGTATAAGTCTTGACTCACATTAGCTATAAAACACTAAAATCATACCTTTGGAGATTTACTTTTGGATCCTTTCTTTTCTTCAGTGGTCTCTTCTTTATCATCCACATCCCAATCTTCCTCAGTTGACGAAGCATCCTCTTTGGATTTCACAGAGCTATTTTAGGAAATTAATAACAATTATTAATATATTTTACAAAAGAATAAATTTCACATACATTAGATTCAGAAGGACAAATTCAACATTTTGCTACATCTACTACACCATTTTTATATGATAATATAATTTATGTAATCAAATAGTAAAATCGGTGCTTCTTTTATAATCTGTATCATGTTCTTCTCCACATCTCATTGAAATGTATGAATATTGTCTTTCTATTAATACAAACCAATATTATGTATATGGCTACAATGCAAAGTAATATCATTTCTTCATGGCACTTATTTAATATATGAGCCCTTTATTATTGCTTCCTTATATATTCCCAATACAGGCCAAGCACATTACATTTCAGTTTTATATTCATATTGTCAGATGATATTCAGCTGTAATCATCTAAAGAAACTATGGATTAGACATTATTCAATATATCAAATTACCTTCGCCCTTTGATAGATCTGAACACGCGGGAATAGGCGAGCGACCTTTCAGTGAATCGCCTAGAGGAAAAAGAAGCACGCGAGCGCGGTGCGCCGCGGAAGGAGGCTCGCGAGCGCAAGGAGCGGCCGCGGAACGAACGGCGCGGGGCCCGCGGCCGCGCCGGCGCGCGCGCGCCCTCGCGCGGCGGGCCCATGCCACTCGGCTTGCGGTACGGCTCTCGGGTCGGTGAACGCCTTCGGTCTTCACCGCCGAACGATCTCCTTTCCCCGCCGTAACTCTCTTGTCTACCGCCGTATGATCCGCCGTAATGACCGCCGCCATCATGGCTACGTCTATCGCTCGAGGATCCCTGTACACAACTCTCCCTTGTTCTCCCATCATGCTTTACAGATTAAATTCTATACAATAATAAAATAATATACACAGAATTACAAGTGTCTTCGTCTTTAGTATCTTTTTTCATTCAGGAATAATAGACAACTCTTCTCTGAGAAGTTCATTCTAATCGCAAAAGGGAATTGAGAACACGTAACATAGTACAGATATGTGACATCATCTAGCTATATGCTAGTTTTCATCGTAACCTCCTTGCTCAGTTCAAGTTCACTGCTGCATTTGCCATTTAAAAGGTCAGACCCGCAGACGAGACAAAACTTAAATTTTCAGTGCACATTCATGTACAAATCTTTCATAGTGTCATTTTGCATGTGGCCTGAAGCAACGGCAATGAAGACTTTAATAAGACTGACCACATAATGGTATAGTCACTCTCATACAGGAAAGCTAAAAGCATCAGCTTGAGGAGTTTTTGTAATGGCCTGCATGAAATATGTTTGTTTATTGACAGTATAGTAAAGCAATAATTTTATCTAAATTCTACTATATTCATACTCCATACCATAACATCAGTTTAGTATACACAAAATGACATGCCATTTTCTATGTTGTTCTAAACCTAACTAGACTGTTTTTCTCATCTTTCAGTTTCTATTCATTTAACCTGTTTATGTAATCAATCAGGTAAAAGGTTCAAAGTAAAATTCACTTGTCTGATTACAGCTCATTTAGTAAAAGTTATTTCAACAGTATGCTCTCACTGCTTAATTTTTACTAGTATTTTGTAGATAAATTGGTAGTCTCATACAAATTCTCATCACATCTTGAAACCTCATTAGATCCACATTCTAATTTTATCAGCAATTTTAGTGTCAAATCCAGTTATCCAACAAGGTGAAATATTAAAACAATGCCATATATTTGCCAGTTTTCCTATTTCAGGACATGTACTGATTTTTATATTTAATTTTCATTATCACACAATATTACTTTTGCCCAGAAAGACAGTGAATGTGGAGCCAAGTGCGGAATGGTGTGCTGTTGTAATCTGTTCTATATTTTAATATAGACAATTCATTGATTTTCTGATTCTTGGATGCCTCATTCAAATATGATGAAAAAATTATATTTTTAGCTAATACCAATAGTACAAACCTCAATTCTCATCCGTTTGCGTTCAGGTGACCCCGATCGACCATAATCACGATTAGAGTAACTAGCAGAACTTTCCTGAAACAAAATGTGTTTGATTTTTTTCTTAAATTGTATCAAAAATACATGATTTAATATAAAAGTTCATAAACAATAAAAAAAGATTTTTAAATCAAGAGTGTTTATAAAAAATTCTAAGAACATTTGTATTATCTATCAATTATAATATTTTATATTTAATTATATTATTTTTTCTAAAATTACTTAAAGAGTGCTTTTAGAGTAATACCTCAAAATATATATTTAAATGTATCATTCAAAATTTGGTACTAATCTTGTATTTGAAGTTACAGGAAATTTATGTTTTTGTAATAATATTCTAGCTTTTGACAATGGTTTCACACATTCTTATACAAACATTTATCCCCTACTTCCCTTTAGGAGTTAATTCTTCAAAAGCCAATAAACATATTAATTTTGGTTTTGTACCAAGAGTCTAAATCTAAAATTTCACTAATCTAACTAGACTCTCTCTTCTAAATTGATGAAATTACATACAAGCTTTTAATTTCCCTTTTGTAAGAGGAATGGGTCTGTTTTTTTTTGATGGGTGAAAATGGTATGGTAACCCTGCCTGGGTTAACGGGATACACTGGCAGAGCACCAGTGAAGGGTGATAGATGAGAATAAAAACAGGCCCGTTAGCCCATCATGATAAATTCATCAGGAATTAACCATGATAGTTTCCAGGGAGAACTGCGAGGAGGTCGACCTGGTTGGGTATATTGCTAGCAATGAGATTCTCAGTCTTCATTACTAACAATCCCTTTCCCCACATTGGAATGGGTCTGTTTTTTTTTTTGATGGGTGAAAATGGTATGGTAACCCCGCCTGCGCTAACGGGATACACTGGCGGAGCACCAGTGAAGGGTGACAGATGAGGATGAAAACAAGCCAGTTAGCCCCTCATGATGAATTCATTAGGAATTGACCATGATAGTTTCAAGGGGGAACCGTGAGGAGGTCAACCTGGTTGGGTATATTGCTAGCAATGGGATTCTCAGTCTCCATTACTAACAATCCCCTTCCCCCCAGAATGGGTCTGTTAGTAACAGCTTCATTGTTAGCAATATACCTTAACAGGTTGACCTGGAGGGAAGGGATTGTTAATAATGAGGTTAGTCCCCATCACTATCAATATACATTATCAGGTCAATCTCCATGCAGTTCACCTTGGAAACAATTATTGTTGAATTCATCACAATAGGCTAACTGACTTGCCTTTTCATCCTCACCAATCATCTCTCATTAGTGCCCCGAAGTGTATACCGATAGTGCAGGCGGGGTTACCATTCCATTATCATCCATAAAAAAAAAATTTTGATCTCTATTCAGTTCATGTTGGAAAACATTTTCATTTTTTATGAAGTTGTCACTATATTGTCATTTTCTAAATATTGTCATCACTATTATATTATTATACATTATGTTGATAATATTTAGTTCAGATCTCCCCTGGAAACCACTTTGGTTAATTCCTGAAGTATTTGTCAAAATAGGCCAATTGTCCTGACTCATATTCACCAATTATTGGTATAACAACAAAATGGAAATTATGACAGTAATTTTAAGAAACACTTACGGATCTGTATGTTTTCTTGTATGGTTCATCGATTCTGTCACGGCTAGAGTTGTATCTATTCCCACTACTACTGTTGTAACGAGATTCATTGCTATAAGAAGAATAGCCACCGCCGCCACGGCCGCCTCGGCTTTCGTACGAGCCTCTATTGTTGCTACCTCGATATGTGCCTCTGTAGCCAGTGCCACGGCCACTATAACTGCCTCTTCCACCATAACCACCGGCATATCCACGACCACGAGATGACATGCTGAACTAAAAGAGGACTTGTTTGTCATTATCTAATAACCTGATAATTTAGCACATGGTTAACACCACGTAAAAAACAAACCATCAGAACTCAATTATAAATCTTACACATTTATTAAATAACACACAGTTTTTCAAAATTCAGTGCAACAATAATAATTTATATTTTTACCTTTTATTTTCTGCTTTAATCGGTGAAACTAAGACGCGTCTATAATAAAATGGCGTCACTTGGAGCACGTCCCAAAGATTAGGGAGACCCGCTCATACAATTCACCAAAAATAACATATTTAATGAAGTTTTAACAGATTCAGCTATCACACTATAAACAGAAATAGAATTTATAATTGTAATATAGAAGAAATATTGGGAAGTTTTATTAAAATCAAATCTTAAACAATTTATAAGGAAAAGGAAAAATTAGGAGTGACCGACTGTGACAGTTTGAAACAATGTTGCCAGATAAAGTGGAACAGAATTAGCGACGAGTACTGAAGCAAATCTTTTGAATTAATCGAATGTATATGAAAATCATTCTGCTACTATATTCATTCATTATAATGATTCTACTAATCTTTAAAGTTTTAAGATTATAAAGAATATAAATTGGCAAAGAACGAGACAGAAAATATCGTCATAGTCGTAGAATACTGACGAATATGTATATTTAATCTTTCTTTGTCAGATCCGTCAGTATTCTACGACTATAACGATATAATAACTTGTATCTTAGAGCGAGAGAGAAAAAAGGATAATAATTTGCACAACATAAGCTCGAAGCAGTTTTGGTAGGAATATATTTTTTTATTAAAATAACAAGGCAGTTTTGATTAAAATAACTTCCTTTTAATTATTTTTACATATTGAAGTGGAATTAGTTTTAACAATAAAAAAAAAATGTGTCAGTCTATATATCGATTATATCGATTAACAAATTGACAAAGGCAACAGACTGTTACATATGCACCTATAATAATCACATAGATGTAGTATATTACACTACATACTTACAGACTGGCACTGCATATCATAAAAACGAAATGGAAATGTAATTACACTTGTTTGCATGAAATGTAAGCAAGGTGAGCAAGGAACAGTGCTGCACCATGCACATTCTATCTTTTTTTTATTATATTCTATCTTATATTATTCTCGATTTATAATCGGTTATACGGTTTATCAATTGATTCTGTATTAGATATTGATTTACGTAACGTGTAACGATAGAATATGCATGGTGCGGCTGCGTTCTATGTTCACATTTATATTTCACGCACACAAGTGTCATCACATTTTCGTCTCGTGTTTGTTTGTGATCGCATTGCCAGTTTACTAGTACGTAGTACATTATACTAAGTCTATGCTTTAAATATTTTTTTTAGTAATTGTCCTGTATGAGTTTGTAAGACTGGAGCTGAGTCGACTCGATCACTAGAATGATAATACCTTTTTTTTATAATGGACAATTGTGTTAATAGTTTATTATATTTAGTAAAAATTAGCAACTTCCGATACTCATCAGTTATCTAAAAAAGAATATTAAAATCTGTAGATGGATATGAGATAAAATAACCCTTGTTTTGTTTCTTATACGAAATAGACTGTAGCAATCACTCGATTACTGACTCTCGGTAATCGAAGGAACAGAGGCCGCCAGCGCCGCCTCCAGCACAATTCCATGATTGTATACTCTAGATTAGCGAATGAGTTGTCTTTGACTTTAAAAAAAAAACTTGTAACGCGAAGGCGGAAATTTTAAATTAATTTTATTTGGAAACTCGAATAAGAACAAGCGGGTTTTTTAATTTTTTTTTATTAATTTATTAAAACTATCTCTATCAATTCTTATTATTGAATAAAATATTATATTTTCACTAAATTCAGCGACAGTAATATAATTAGCATTCATGGGGAAGCGCAGTTGTAGAAAAAGGAAAAAAAAAGATGACGATTCAGGTGATGTAGACCATGAACCTTGTAATGACAAGGATATATATTCGGAAGATACTTCTACTGACTCAGAATCTGAAATTGATAAGGCCGATAAGTATAAACCTTACTACGTCACAGATTATATTAGAAGATATCCCGAGGAATCCCCTGGGACAGAATTTGTTGTCTTTGTAGAATCCTCAGATAGTCAGAAAACCATTGGATCCAGAGACTTGCTCTCACTCTCCTCCTGTTTAAAACGATTTAATAAAGGGGTAACTTATCTTAGATCTATAAATAAATTCAAAATCGGAGTATACTTTCAAAAGCCAGACTTAGCCAATGCTTTTTTAAATAATAAAACTTTTTTAAATGACTACCATTTTAAGGCCAGTATTCCTGCTTCTTCAACAGAAGTTACAGGCGTTATTAGAAATGTACCTACAAATATATCTAATAAAAAAATATATACTATGATATCGAGTTCTAAGAAAATTATTGCTATTAAAAGAATTTTAAGAAAAAATACCTTGACTCATGGATATGTGTTACAGCCAACTCTAACCGTGACAATTACTTTTGCTGCATCTGTATTACCTGAATATCTGGATATTGGAGGTTGGCGCCACAATGTCACTCCATATATACCACCAGTTAAACAATGCTACCGGTGCTTGAGGTATGGACATTTAGCTAAATTCTGTAAGAATTCTGAGCGTTGCAGCATCTGCAAAGGTGAGCATAATTATAAAACTTGTACAACTGGAATGGAAAACGCTATTTGTGTACACTGCAATGGAAATCACACAAGTGTATCACCGCAATGCCCTGTTAAACAAAAGAAAATTGCTGAAAATAGATCTAAATGCAGACCTGCTTCTTTTGGAGATATACTTAGCACTGAAATATTTCCTAAACTGGGTAACAAACCTAAAAAAAATGTAGACCTAATTTCAATTCTAAATTCTGATAACAAGAGTTTATCACTTTTAATAGAAAGCATAATCAAACTTATTTCACTACATAACACAAAGAACACATCTATTAACACTAAAAGTGTTTTGAATGTGTTATATGATACTTTTGGTAATAGACCTATTTCACAAAATTCAATCGAGACCAATTAACTATCATACAGTGGAACGCTCAGAGCCTACTGAGCAATCGACATATTTTTACACAATTTTTAAATGAACATCATATTCACATTGCTCTCATCTCAGAAACTTGGCTTAAACCACATTACAAATTAAAAATTAAAGATTATTGTATAGAACAAAATGATTGTGGTAATAACCACAATGGAGTAGCGATTATTATACATAATAGTATTAGATATAAAAAACTTCACTCTTTTTTCGACAATTCTTTGCAAACTATAGCTATTAGTATTGAAGTTAATAATTCTTGGTATTCAGTTGCCAGTATTTACTGTCCTACCAATAGTACACCTAGTTTTACTAAAGCCAAATTTAAGTTCTTTTTGGAGTCTCTTCCTAAACCCACTATCATATCTGGAGATTTAAATGCACATCATACTATGTGGGGTTGTACCTCCACTAATACAAGAGGTAAAGACATTCTTGATTGTTTAGATGAATGTAATTTGGTACTATTAAATGATAAGCAAGTTACTACTGTTGGCTCTCATATTTGGAGACCCAATGGCCTTGATTTAACTATGGTATCCCCATCCATATCATTAAAATGCGAGTGGTCGGTTCATGATGATCCGTTAGGAAGTTATCACCTGCCGACTTTTACTAAAATAAACACAAAGAACTCTTCATCAACTCCGTCAGGTGAACAACATGCTCCTATAGATGAAGTTAATAAACTTTTGTTAAATCGTATAAACCTACGTCTCGTTAATTGGGATCTTTATTCTGAAACTGTTAATCGATTACTTTTGGATTTCGAGTATGATGTCAATGAACCCTTAAACAATTACAATAGGTTCTGTAAAATTATTTTGACAGCTGTGGAACGTTCCGTTCCACGTAGGAACTTATCAAATAGCGGTGCAAATACTTCAAAGAGGCACAAACATATTGCAGTACCTTGGTGGAATAACAGGTGTGCGACAGCTGTCAATGATAGTAAAGCGGCTTACCTTAGGTTTAAACAAAATCCAACTCTCGATAATTACATAAATTTTAAAAGAGTTCAAGCTGTTAAAAAGTTAGTAATTAAGCAAGTAAGACAACAGGGGTGGCAGGAATTTTGTTCCAAATTTAATAGATTAACACCAATTTCCACTGTTTGGCAAAATATGAGAAAACTAAATTCAAAACATCGTCAAAATCATTTTAAAGATATATCATGGGTCAATGATTTTTTACGCAAATATACTCCTGATTTTGTACACTCACCTTTTGATGACAAACAGTTTAATTCTGTTAATTCATGCCCAAAATTTCTCACTGACCCATTCTCAATTGATGAAATATCCAGTGCAGTAAAATCTAGAAAAGATACAGCTAGTGGCCTTGATCGCTTAACATACAATATGTTTCGATTGCTGAATAAAATAAACCTTACTAAACTCTTACAAATTTTTAACGATTTATGGAAGGACTGTATTATCCCACCAGAATGGAAAATGGATTGTTTGATTCCAGTAATTAAACCCGGTAAAGATCCTACAAATTTCGACTCCTATAGACCTATAACATTGACGTCCTGTGCAGGCAAATTATTCGAACAATTAATTAAACAGCGTTTAGAGTTCTTTATTGAAAGTAATAGTATATTACCATCGAATCAATTTGGTTTTCGCCGTGGATATTCAGCGCGCGAAAGTTTAGCGAACTTCTATGTCGACCTTAGTACTGCTTTGAATAACGATGAATATGTTCTATCTGTTTTTTTAGATGTCGTAGGAGCTTTTAACAATGTAAATTTAACAGTTCTATCTTCGATTCTATCCTCATTTCTTCCAATGAAACTTATCGAATGGATTTATAATTTTCTTAGTAATAGAGAAGTGTATGTTAAAGTAAATAGTAAATTAATAGGACCTAGGTTAAGCTCTAAAGGAGTATGTCAAGGTGGTATTTTAAGCCCGCAACTATATATTTTATATATCTATAAACTTAATTCAGTTTTAGGAAACAGTGTGAACAACTTGCAATTTGCCGATGATTTATTAATTTATATAAAAGGAAAGAATATTATTGATATGCAATTAGTGTTAAATGAGTCATTAAAAAGACTTGAGAAATATTTTTCTCTTCTTTCCCTCGATATTAGTTTAACCAAAAGTAAAGTAGTTGTTTTTCATCAAGTTCATAAATATGTTCCATTAATGAATATTATATATAATAATCAAACTCTTCCAACAGACTGTAGCGTTAAATTTCTGGGGGTAATTTTTCATCAAAATTTAAAATGGGATCTATACGTTGATTGCTTAGTAGATCGTGCTTTAAGAGCCACTAATATAATAAGATCTGTAATTGGTCGTAACTGGGGAGCTGATCCTAAAATTATCCTTTTACTTTACAAATCTCTTGTTAGAAGTAATTTTGAT